TTCTGTCTTTCCTAGACTAGTAAAGAGTCTCTTGTACCCCACACAACATAGATTAAGAGCTCCTCTCACAGCTCCTAGCAGTAAGAAAACATGGTTATTTTGCTTTCTCCTTCACCTTTCACCCCATAAATTGAGGATCTGGAAGAGACCTTTTGTCTTCTGAATTGCTTCTGGCTACCCTTCAAAACTGCATAGCAACAATCACTCTAAATACCTCTCCAGGTTAAGCAATTGATCCCTCTGGTAAGGCCTGAGGCATGACAGGTAGTGAGTAGGGATAAGGAAGGAAAACAGTGAATGGAAAGAAGGTGGGAGAGAGACAGCTGCCATGTGGTGAGAAGTGGTAGGGTAGCCTAGTACTTCCTTTGGGTGTCATGCTTCCCCCAAGGTCTCAACTCCAGCTTGGAGTATTCCTACACCCGCAAAAAAATGCTACACCGGGACAGTAAAATTAACCTAAGTGTCCAGGAATGCTCACTTTGCCTCTCAGGACAATGAGAAAACTCAGCAGTCCCATCTCTGCCTTGGAATGGTTGAGTACTTACTCGAGGAACTCCCCATTTCCACTCCGCCTAGCCCTTCAGTTGACTAAGTTGTGAATACAGAAGTAACTCAGTCTCTAAAACACAGTCAGGCTATGGGGCAATTTTTAATAACAATGAAAATCCCAGTTTATCACCAAGAATATTAATTAACATCCTTGAGGCATGAACCTTACCACACAGTTAAGGATGCCTATCTGGGAAATGATGGTGCCTAAGCAATTAGGTACTGAACTGTATAGTCCAGTCAGAAGTAGCCTTGGGTGTGAAAAGAGGAAAAAAAGTCCAGTTAGATCCTCAGCCTTTAGGCTCAAAATTGAAAAGATAGCCATTGCTATAAAGTGGAAACAATATTCTCTAGAAGGTTGAAGATCACACTCTTAGCCATGAACTTCGAATATATAGGTTGAAAACCAATTCCTTTCCTCTGGAGGTTAACCAAGAACACAGGATTCCAGGAACACAAACAATCCTGAGCTCTCCATTCTCCGGGGTAAACGTGTGACAGCCCACAGGCAAAGGAACATACTTAAACTTTGGGGTCTCAAAAACAACTGGGCAACCCCCGTCACCACCGGTTTTTGAAAATTTAACTTTTTCCTAATTTCCTTGTTCTGATGTACTCCTTAACTTTGTGTAATTGCTCACCCTGTTCATAACTTCCTGATACCTATCTCCTCTCTTCCTTTGTCTCCTGATGAGTCTTATCTCCTCTCTGCCTACTTACATCACAACTAGCAGGAATGCAGACCATACTACCAAAAAAAAAAAATTAGTTCTCAGTGTGCTAAACCATGGAAGAGAAGGGAATGCAGTTATCTCCTCAGGTGGGGATAGTAAATAGTTTGGATAATAGGAATTTTAGCCTTATAAACAACTTGGACTCACTTCCTAGATTGGCAATGTCTCAGGCAGTCTCAACACAGCTAGAACACAATTTCCATGCTGACCTTACTCATGGTAACACAGGAACTGGTCAGAGGTGGTGGTGGTGTTGCTGGTGTTGCTGGTTCTCAAGAGACTATTCTTTGGTCTAAACACCTTCTTACCAACTTCCCTTGATGACAGGTGAGCTCAAACCCACTTACCTCTCCTTTCAGGAGGAGTCAGGGTACATGAAGCTCAACTCTTTTGATGGCCTGGGACTATCATCATTTGCGAAACTGTCTTCTACTTTGAAAAAATCACATTTTATGGCTTCCTGCAACTTTTTAAATTCTCTTGTTCCTAGTCTAGTGTTTTGAAGTACCTCTTCAAACCCTGAGAACTTTTTTTGGTAGTTTATGTATCTATGGCGATTCTGAAACAAAGAACCCCTAAGATAAAATGGAGGGGAAAAAATGCCTTTTATACCTAATAGGATTTGCTCAGAGGGTACAGATTAAGAAGTAAATGCAATGGAGCAAAACTGGTATAGTAACAGGAAATATTTAATTTTCCAATCTCCACTTTCCATTTTTATAAACTGAAAAAAATGTAATATATTACAAAATATCTGTACATAGACAAGGTACACCCGATGGGGGGCAAAAACAAGAGAGAGGAATACAGTGTCAGGAACCTAAATCAGGGCGAGTGTGGTGGCAACTGACACTTTTCTGATGTAGCATTCTCTCTCAAAGCCTACTAGCAACCATTTTAGGACTGTAACTGTATATGCATATTGTATATATATGTATATATATACACACACACACACATGTGGTTGGGTGATGTCTATGGCATAAGCTAACAGAAATCCTACTTACAAATTTGTGCTAACTGCCCTGCTTTTAGACATATAGATCTGATGTCACTTTCAAATCCTTATCATGCCTATGGAGAGTTGAAGAAAAAAACTAAGAAAACTGGGTCAAGAAAAACTGTTTTCAAAATCACAAAAATAACCATGGTCAAACCAGTTTTGCCTCTCATTCATGAACCAAATCAGGTTTCTCATCTGTTCAAAATAATGTATTTAATGGACTTAATAGCTCCGAGGGTACAATACTTAAAATAAAACCACTTTCGAATATAATTATTTGAATTTGTAGTTTTCTAATAGTCAAGTTGAAATTCTGCCAAACCTTTACTTCCATCATGTTTATAGAAAACGCAGCTGAAAAATTAACAAATACCTTTTCTTCCTCCACACAGATTCCAGGATACTTAAGTGAGTTTCTTTTTTCCTCTGCTTTTAGAAACAGTCAAAATTACCAAACATTTTTTTCTTTTTCATTTTAAGGTTAGACTCCCAAAATGGGGGCTGGGGGTGAGATGGAATCATACACACACATACACACGCACACATACACTCACCCCCTTCCCTAGTAGCAGGGATGGGTGAATGGAGCCTTAGGGATATTACTTAGAATATTTGGCATAATTAAAAATAAGAGGTGGGAAGGGAAAAACATTATTGATGACTGATGATAACCAAAATATAATTAAAATATATAGACATTTTTTTATTCATATTTGGTGCGAAACCAATTTTCTTCCACTGGATACTTCTGAGTTCTTTAATCAAAAATGGGAGTGGGACCCAATGCCTCAAATTCAAATATTCTAAAATACAAAGGGCCATGTCTGAAGACTAAGAAGTCAACAGACAAAAGGTTCAGATAAACTTTAATGCAATTTACCAATACCGTGTCAGTGAGCCTAGCAAAGCTAATTGGACACACTGGTATAAAAAGTCGTCAATGCCAAAATGGCTGGAAGGTTCTTTCTAATAAATGTTTGGCCCTGAGGGCAAGGCCAGACCAAAACCCAGAGAATGATAAAGAAATACACACACCATAAATCTACCAATTTCAGTGATGGGAAAAAATAGTCTTCGTGTAAATATCTGAAGAGGGTTCTTCTTTCATTTCTCTAAAGTTTTTTATTAGTGCATCTTTCTCTTACAAGTAGTTTTTAATTTTTTAATATAAGAATTTGGCATTAAAACATGAAACTTCACTTTAGTTCTGAAAACTATTCTTCAAGATGCTGAAGCACATTTGCCTTTTCTTTGTAAAAGAGGGAGCTAAGCTATGTTTCACCAATGTCTAAGCCTGTGCAGATAATTTATATGAATGTGCATGTTTTTAAACACATTATATGCTGGTACTCACAGAGAAATGGAAGCCAGAATGAGAAGTCTCCCAAGTTATCCCACCCTGAAGCCTTTCCCTTTTCCATTTCCTGTTTATAATAAAGAAAAACTCTTGCCATGAAATCATAATTTAACCCTTTTTACCAAAACCAAAACAAAAACTCTCCAGAGGAAAATTCTAAAAAGATCTGGCAGGATATACATGCTGAGATATGTATATGTCAATACTATTCTTTCTCATGGTCTGCTCTTTTAAAGTTATTTTTTAAGAAGGTCTTGGGTATTGAAATATCTTCAGAAAAATACCCACCCTAAACTAAGTTACATTTCCATGTATTTTCAGGATTTTTTTCATTTTGACAATATTACAATGCTGTTTCAAAAGGGGTTATTTTTGACATAAAAATATATGTGTAGACAGTATGCTAACTGCTCTTACTGGCCCTCTAAATGTGAAGGCATAATCTCTAACCCCAGCTCAGCAGCAATGGTCTAGGTTGTCTGCATTTATAAATCAACTTCACCATCAGAGCATGGTTAAAAAAAAAAAATTCAGAATTGAAGTTACAGAGAACAATATAGGAGTTTGAATTTCCTTTCCTTTATTTCAAAAAAGGTAAAGAATTATCCCAGGTTCTTGGGCATCTCAACAATTTTTTCCAAACAAATGTCTCAAAAAGAGAGACAGAAAAAGAAAAACTCTATAGTCGGGGTGAAAAAGGGAAAAGATGGGGTAAAGTCTACCTACTTGCCCAAGAATGCCACTTTCTACAGCCTGCTTCAAATGCAGGGAGTGAGGGCATGTCTTTTGCCAAAGCAGAACAAACTTTAAGGCTGAGTAATTTATTTGGAAAAAAGGAATGTTTAAGATGCTCAATGGGGGAAAAAAAGAGTTTACTTGAAAGCAAAAATGTGACGTGGTAGAGAGGAAGGAAACATTTATTTAAATCAGCCAATCACTTTTTTCCCTTACAGCAAAAGCCTAAGAGCAGCTCAAATTTCGTGAACACTATTCTCTTTAAAATATAAAACAAAACAAAGTACTAAATCGAAAAGAAAAGAACTATTAAAAAAAATCCAAAACTTTAAAAACCTAAAGAGAGTCTCTCCTGAGCCATCTCAAAACTGAAACTGTTTTCTTTTTCTTCTGCTCAAAGTAGTGCAGGCAATGAACTAATAAAGCATTTACTTGTCAATTTAATGGCCCTCTCCATATTCTCTACTTGTATCTACTAGGTAGAGTTGAAGTAAATGTTCTGGCTCTAACCCATCCAGGGGGAACTGGTGCCAACATCATTATTTTGGAAGTCGCCTGCTTAGTAGCAAGTGAGCAAGGAATACAATGGATAGCTTTGAAGTAGCCAAATGCAGATGATTACCTCACTCTGGCAAATGATTTCATTAAAGGTTCAGAGGACTGGATGGAAGATGGACAGGGAAGGAATCTTTCAGGACACTGAAGTCTCTCTGGGTTAGTAAGGAACTCCTCTCCCTCTTCCCCCTCTTGGCGGGACTCTTGTAGGACCCCGATAGAGTTTTCCATAAGCAGAAGACTGAGCTGGGACCCCCCAGTTAAGGCCTGCTCCTGAGCTGCCGGCTCCACTGGTTCCAGGCCCCAGCTCCCCATAGTTTTGCAATTTGGTCTCTGCATGTGCCACAGAGTTGCTGCTTCCCTCAGCCTTCAGGAATGGTTGCCCGACCACTGAGTGTATTGCTAAGGGGACCCTGGCAAAACGGAGGTCCTGGTCCCCTGGAAACTGCACTGACCCTGTACCCTGGTAACTGCTGGACTCCCCAAGGTGGCTCACAGAGCCTGAGAAGGTCCTGTTCTTCACCAGGGTCTGGGCCAAGGATTCTGTCACAGCTGGACCAGAGTTGCGTTCATCAGTGTCAGTGGCACTGAACCCTGTTTCAGGCCCATCAGTGTTTCCATAAGTCCTGTTGGGATGGGGTCGGGTGGAGTATTCCATTGGTCTCATGGCCTGGTGCTCATGTGGCAGGCGGCCAGAAGGCTCTGCTTCAGGCTGGGATAAAAGTTGCAGCAAGGCGGCTGTCACGGCTGGGTTCAACTCCTGGGGGGCGCTGGAAAGATCGCCTTCAACCAGAGGGGGTGGAGGTGGCGGCGGTGGAGGTCCAGGGGGCTCAGGGGGCCTCTTCTCTGGTGGAAGAATGTGAGGAGGACATGCTGTGGAAGGGTTACTTCTTTTAAACACCATCTTAAAAATCACATGTGATTATAAACACAAACACACACACACACATACATACTGCCCAACATAAACATATCAATACAAGTAACCAAAATATATATAGAATAAAATCTTGGGATCAGGAAATGTCAATTTATAAATAAAATCAAGTGATTAATAGCAAAACAGATGTATTCTGGATCTAACAGCTGGTGTAAAAAGATCACATGTTTTAAATACTGTTCTGATTTTTGTCTGAGATTTCCTCCATTTCCTTCCTTAAGGAACTGTTCTAATATGTAGGCTGCCGGCAGCCTCCTGCCCCTTTTTGCTGTTGAATCAAAACATTAATGAAAGTAAAGTAGAAAGAAAGAAGATGAGAGGGAACAATATACATGCTACAGTCACATTTCTAGGACATAATCTTGCTGTACAATAGGAGACCTTGCATGGACTCAGCTAATACATTTTACAGAATGTTTAATAATATAAGGTTAACACCTGAAATAGAACTTAGAGAACATACAGGAGAGATCAAATTAAAAAAAAAAAAAAAAAAAACAACCCTTTCATTACCATCATGTATACTTGCTTCTCCACGTTCGGTCCCTCTCCCAATAACCACATTCTAAAGAAAGGAATGTTAACCACCACTGTCATTCAGCGGCCTATGTTACAGTAATTATAAAGACTAATTATCTATAATAATTTTCTATTTTATTTCCCCATCTCCTGCATTTTTTCCATACTATGACTAAAATTACTGTAGCAATAGCATGCAGAATGGACTGTTAACATCTATTTATCTTGGAGACAGTGATAAGAACCAAATATTCAGAAATGTATTAAATACTACGCTCTGTCTTTCCAAAGATCTTTGTCTTTTTCAAACCACTCCTCAGACTTTGCCCCGCAACTGCCCGCTTACTTTGCCCAAGTGTGCCAATTGTCTGAAAATGAACTCCTGCCAAGACAGCAGAGTAGAGATGTAAAATGGCATAAGTCTGAGAACATATAAAACCAAGTTGAGTCAAAAGAGTGCATTTAGACAGTTGGAAGTCACCCCGCTGAAGAAGACACTTAATGTTTTGGGATATCTTCCAAACGATGGATTTTTCTTTTCCTTATTGAAGCATATTTTGAAATGTCGATATAGTCGATTCTTTTTGTCTGAGCTAGTGATATAAAGTTATTACTCAAACAAGCAAAAGGTGGTTTTTAGTTATTAGATATTTTGGTAGCATATTTACCACAAGTATATTTTGCAAATATAATCAATAAGTATGTATTTCCTTAGTGTGCAGATGAAAGCACTATGAAAACACTACAAAACTGTCAGGGTATGCAGTGGAAGGACGAGGTCAGATGTTATATATAATATACATAAGTAGGACAACCAACGATCCCATTTTACCCAGGACTGATGAGAGGGTTCCCAAATTGCCAGCTCTCACTTTTAAAACCAGGACTGTACAGGGTTAAGTTGGCTACCCTATAAATAGCAGCTGCCCAAGTAACTTGTTGACTGGCTGGCTGACTAGGTGGTAGAAAAAAAATGAATTTAAGGACAAAAAATTAGCTATGGAAAACTCATAACCTGAAAAGTAAGCATCCTGAAAAAGGAGAGCTAACTGGACTACAAACATCTATAGATTTCAGAACTTTTTAATGTCAATGCTACATTATCTCACTACATAAAAACATCACAGTACCAGTTATTTTTAAAAGTATTTTTTGGACAATACATGAAATAGAACACCAGGCTGTTGTTGTTTTTAACACTGAGGGCAGACAATTTTAAAAATGCCCAACTGCAAAAGTTGTCAAAACTAAACTTACACTTTTCCAGGCTTACTACTTTTCACATTTAAATTCTTTTATGTTAACTAGCCTAGTTGTTTCAATAGAACTAATTCTTGAGCTCAATTTCACATTTATGAGAAGATGAAAACTATTTCAAAGAAGCAAAAGCAGATGGATTGTAAAAACTATTAAAGGTTAGTAAAACTTCTTAAAGGAATTAAAAATAAAGATCACATTAAAAAATCATACTAAGATTTAAAGTGTTAACAGCATTACCAATCCTTAACAGTCTGTACTAATGGAGGGCGATATTAATGAAATGTACAAATAACTTAAAAACTTTATTTGACTCATCGGATTTCAACCATAACCTTTCCCCAACAAGTACAGAGAAGCTAAACAGTAGCCAAAGTGATAAATTTTCACCTTCTCCGGTTTATTTAGTCTGCCCTCTGGTGGAAGTGCTAATGAACAGTAAAATGGCCTTAAGAGAGGCAGCAGGGGAGAAACATGAGAGACACAGGAAACACCAACTGGTTAACCCAGGGGTGAGTGTAATTATCAGAAGTGGCATTTTTACTCTCCCCTGAAAAGTAAACCCAACAATTTTTGGCTATAAGCCAGGCCTTAATTTTAGTTCAATTTCATCCTTTAGCTGATACCTTGTTGGCTCAATTATTAAGTGAATTTCTTTTAATCACTGTATTATTTAATTTGAACCACTTCTTTGAGGTATTTTGATTATAGCTAAATTTTTTTTTGAGGGAGATGGGAGGTGGGTATGAGAGATGATACAAAGAGGCTTGCTTTAATTCTAGATTAGCTTTCTCTTATTCCATGTTTTGAAGTCTCTTTAAAAAACAACTGGAATCAGATGACAGGATAGCAAAGTTAATTAAGAAACACAATTAAGAAGGTACACAAGTTCTAAGTTCTGGCTCTGCCAATAATATGGTTCCAGCAGTGAAACCATAGGTAGGTTAATTTAAATTCCCTGGATTGCAGTTTTCCTATCTGTAAAGTACAGGAGTCAGTTTCCTTTATGTTATCTTCCAGTTCTAAAGACTTTACATATGAAAAATAGCTTATATTTTGACCCTATACCCGTGGAAATAAGGCATATACTTTCTGCAACATCCCATATAAAATGTGAATGCAGAACCCTGAAGTTGAAGGTTAGTGAATCTCTTCAACCCTTGTACTTCTTCTCATTCCTCAATTCATGAGGTCTTCATGGACAGTGAAATTTCCAAGAAGTTGAAAACACTTTTTAGATAAGATTTTGCAAACAGACTGTGAATCAGAATTGATTAGAAAAAATTTTTCCTTCTAATAAACTGCATGCTGTGGTCATGTAAGATCAAAGTATAACATATTTCCTTTTTTTTTTTTTAATATAATGCTCATTTCCTAATCTAAAATCCATTCAATTGTCTCTTTCAGGAACACAGCTTTTAAAGGAATCATTTTTATATGCTATTAGTTTTTGAAAAGGAAATGTACAGTGTTATTTACTTATTATTCCCAGATTAGTTTTCAGGAGATTAACAATGATATTTTATTAGGTTTTTCTTGAATGTACCTTTCAGACAAGACTCTGGTATCCAGCATCCACTACACTAGAGTAACATTTACTATTCGCACAATCTGATGATGGTTTGTTTCGAAGGCAGATTTTCAAGTGCAAGTATTAGTTGGCCACTCTACACACAGTGGTTCAAATGCACCACTAGCTATGGATGTGGTTTCTATGAATTAGAACACAGGGGCTTTACTTACCTACCTCCTAGGAAATGGAAAATCAGTATATGAAAGGTGTTTTGAGAAGCTTTGAGACTTAAATAAAAGAAGCCGGGCAAGAAATGCATCACTTGTTGGTATGTTCTCCTGTAGACTAGGTTACAGAAAAACTGAAACTGAGGCCATTGATGTGAAAAAAGAAATATTAAAGAGACTTTTTAAGAGGATCAACAGCACCTGAGCTCAATGAGATTCATGACCGGTCTGTTTACCTGCTGCCTCCTCCTGTGGCATTGTGGGAGTTCTTCGGGGCCCCTGTGGCCCACTGTTCTTGTCACTGTTGTTTTCCTCCAGGTTGCCTGCTGGCTCCTGGGTTTTCATCAGCTGACTCAAGAGAACTGCCAACATATTCTGCATGTCAGCTGGTGTGCTTGAAGCTTCAGGGGTCTTCTGTTCTGCTGACGGCTGGACCACTGGAGCAGGGGTTGCCTCCTTCAAAGACTCCTCTGGGGCCATGGGCTCCGAGTCCTGCTGCTGGGAAGTGGCTTCCGTTAGGGCATTGAGGGATTGGTTCAGGGCCTCCAGCTGCTGCTGTATCTCAGGGTTGGAGTGGATATTAAGCAGCTGTGCCATTTGAGGGATGCTTAGGTCAGTTTGGCTCTGCAGCAGGTTCAATAACACTGCCAATTCACTTTGATTCAATTGTTGTGTGATGTCACCGAGGCCTGTGGGGAGAGTGAAGCCAATATAAGAGGATGAGGCAGGGCAAAGAATTTTTGCTTTCTTCAACTAACAATAGCAACTTATAACATCCAGTGAATGACATTTCATTTTGAATGTCTCATTTTTCATGCCTCACATCATCAAGACACATTTTGTTACTCTTTATATTACTGCTTAAAAATACATGGACTACCTCAATCATCTCTGTATTGTAAGTAAAAGTTATTTCATTTTACCCTTATTTTTCAAGGTCAATGATTTTTCTACCCTTACTGTACATCGGAATTACTAGGCTTCTGGCCTCATCCCTAGAGATGTGGCAAGTGTTCAGGCATGTTTATTTTTAAAGCTTTCTGGATGATTCTAATGTGCAGCCGGCATTGAAAACCACTGCTGTAGGTGGACAGGGAAGGGAAAGTGAGCCAAGGAAAAAATATCTGTAGTTTAGAAAAACTGGTGGTACCACAGAACTACTTTGTTATAAAAGTTCATTATTCTACAGTTTTGGATATATTTAGATCAGATCACAGTCTTCAGAACTAACTACATTTAGCAATTGAGATTTAACATGACTGGATTTTACGAAGGTCTTATCAAATCTAACATATACAGTGCTCCAAATTGTGTGTGTTAGAGCTCCATAGATGAAGAGATCTTAACTTGAATTTGGCTTACCTAATTTACTGATTTATGCCACAGATCTCATGACGATATAATATTCCTTATTTCAGAAATGGAAAATAATCTACCATAGGCTTTCTGGACCACATATACAAAATTTGGTTTATCTCCTTTTCCATAAAATGAGAACACCAACCTCTTTATAAGTGCTTCAGTGGCTACAAATTAAAACACACACATCCTTGCACTTAACCTTCAAAAACTGCCAAAATGTGCTTTAAAAAGCACGTTGTCTCTATCCCAGCACTGACCTATTGCATCCCCAGCCCCAGGCTCCACCTTGCCAGGAGCAGGCTGAGGTGGTGCTGGACTGCTATTCTTCACAGGCTCAGCACTTGTCCCTGAGGTAGTTTCTTTTCGAGAGGTTTTGGATGGAGGTGGCTCTTCTACCACAACACCACTTTGTCGCTGCCGTCGCCGTTTCTTACTCCATAATTCATGGCAATCCTGCCAGTGGGGGAGACTGAAAAAAGACAAAGCAAAGGGGAAATATGTGTGGGAACGTGGTAGTGAGTGAACAGAAGAACAAGATATTAAAATGGGAAGGCAAAGACCAGTGGGAAACGGCAAAGGTAAGAAAAAAAAAAACAGAGAAGTTAGTAAATAAATAGTAGCAGTATAAAAAGAATCATGGTGTACAACAGTCTGAGAAAATAAAAGTCAAAAAGCCCAAAGGATTTCTACAGTGAGAAACAAGGCTCTTGCTAATAACCAGAGACACACCTGCTATATAAATGCCCACATCCAGCCAAACAGTTAAGTCTTATAACTGTTTTTGGTTGGTATAAGAAGAAGAAGAATGTTACTGGTCAAATTTCAGTTGAGAATAAATAGCACGGAGATGACTGGCTTGTTAATGGCTACAAAAAGTCCAGGCAAAGTATGATTTAAATAAGTTGGAACAACATAAGCATATCATGATTAAACACCCTCTGTGTAAAATCAATTTGTGTGTCATTTGGTCTGTGAACCAGACCAAAAACTGATTCATTCTTCTTTCTGCCCACTGAATTTCCTTAAGTGGATGTTTTCATTTGTGGGGTTTATTAGAATATTTTAACATATATAATATGTTTCCAGGTTTTCCCATGATAATGCAAACAGTCCCAAGTAGGTCAAATCTTCCTATAATAAAGATTACCATAGCCAAAAATCTATTACAAGAGCTCCCAAATTTCAGTAAAAAGCTTTATGTATTTCAAGCCACATTCAATGTATCAAAATGCTAGTACAATAAATTTCTTTGGAACAATCAAATTTGTAGTTACTACCTGTGCATGTAGTAACATCCTATTCATTTCTTTAAGACACAGACTTTCTATAAGAAAAAAATGCCCAGAAAAAGTCTAACATGAACGCTATAATGCTGTGAGTGATAAATTCAAATATAAAAGATTTTTTTATTTGCCAGAATGTGAGCTGTGAGTGTAGAATCTCTAAGGATCTTAGAGAATACGGAAAATTCATAAAACTCTGATGAAAGAGACACATTCAAAGACCACATTTTCTACTCGAAATTCAGGACATGGGATCTAACAGTGATACAAACTATTTAAAATTAGGACTGTCCTTGTAAGTATGGAATATACATGGTCATCACAGATAGAGGATTCAAGTAGATGGAATAATTAAGAGTGAAAACTAGCCCTGGCTGGTGTGGCTCAGTGGATTGAGTGCCAGCCTGCAAACCAAAAGGTTGCCAGTTGGATTCTCAGTCAGGGCACTTGCCTGGGTTTCGGGGCCCAGTTAGGGATGTACAAGAGGCAACCAATCAATGTTATCTCTCCACATGGATGCTTCTCTCCTTCTCTTTCTCCCTCCTTTCCCATCTCTCTAAAAAATAAATAAATCCTAAAAAAAAAAGTAAAAACTCAAAGGAATACCTTCAAAGAGGTTCTTAGGGCAATAAACTGGGCATACAGGAACAAAAGAAGATAGTTTGAGTCAAATTAGAAGAAATATTGTATCTAAATCTATTCCTTATTTTTTTTAAAAAAGTAAAGGAATAAAATATCCTATCAATCATAATACTATTTGTGGGTACGTCTCCATCTGCAGTTCCTCTTTAAGATCAATTATTTTGAGTTTCTCATCTCCTAGGCCTAGGGGAGGAGGGGACGTTTAGGGTCACTACATGAACACCAGCACTTACTCTGGAGGATCCATTTTACTGAGGTCAACATCTTTAAGGAAGTCACTCTGTAGGGTCTGTTCAGCTGTGCAACGTTTGCTAGGATCTAGTGTCAGCATGTGGTCCAGTAAATCCAGTGCTGCTGAAGGAATGCTGTGGAAAGGAAGAGAGAGAAAACAAGTTCACAATGACCCGACAGTTCTTAAACCTGTAACCTTGCATCAAAGGTCTCCAAATTTCCAGTTTCATGAAAAACTGTGGAAAGGGGGTTGGAAGCTGGCTAAATAAGCAAGCAGGTTTTTTCTTCCACAGAGGATTTAAGAAGTGCTATAACACAAGTAGAATATATGAAGCCAGCAATTACATTCTCTTTTTGTCTTGGAAAGATCAAAAAGACTATGAAAAAATACACATATTGTTGAAAATAAAATAGTTTTCTATCATTTAAAGCCTTCAAAAAAGAAAATTACAAAAAGGCTGTGACAGAAATTTGTTCAAAAATAAAATGTTTTCCTATGGTGTGCTGCCATAATAAATTGGGACAACACTAACTCCCTAAGCCAGTAAAAGGCCAAGTGTAAACCAAACACCAGTCAAACACAGAAATTAGGTGTATATTTTTGCCAAACTCACAAAGAGAATTCTTCTCGTAGACGCCTTCTATATTGCTTCTTCGGTTTCATGGTATTGAAATAGGGCAGCTTGATAACATCAGGCCACACAGCTGGACAAGGGCTACCACAGAGTCGACTGAAAACAAAGCAGAAAGCAGAAATAAAAAAGTGAGTAAGTCAGCATCATGAATTCTGGAAATTCTAGAAGCAGAAACGATTACATCCTGAGAGCATATTAAATTAGACGGCATGCAGAAAGAAAAACCTGACCTCATTGCTTTAAGGACAGAGGATTAGGACAAAAAGAACTGGTTACAAGACAATGAAGAGAAAATAGTGGCAGAATAGTTTAAAATGATCTAAGTATTTTGTTTTGTAAAACATGTTTTTAATTCTCCACAGGGGTTTTCATTACCAATTTTGTTCAGTTCAGTTAGTGTTAATTACCAAGGGCTGAGCTGGCCCTATAATAATATCCCTACAGTAAAAACTCACAAAAGAAAGACTAAGGCTGAAAATTTTGATGGAAAATTGAGTTTACTGCATAACAAATAACAAGTTATATATTACCTTTTAAAAAGTCTACATTAGCTGGCTGTACTCTTTCCCCTAATCTTACTGAATAAAACAACCCAAATCCCACCTTGACCCCAACCAAGCCTTTCTGAAACCCCCTATTATAGGTTCTATTTTATAATTATCTGCATACATGTTGTATCACTTACTAAACTCTGAGCTCTTTGAAGGCAGGGACCTACTTTATTTATCTCTGAATCCTAAAGTTTAACAGAGAAAAAAATTTGTTACAAAACAGGCTCAATAAATGTGCGCTGAATAAATACGATCTTACTCTAACCTAAGAATAGAATAACTATCCTGAAAATGACATGCTTTTATATGAAGAATAAAAAAACATGCAAAATAAGATCTAAAAAGTAGGTGGAATACAACTTCTTTATATAGAGCACATTGCAAAATACATGGTAAACCTGAGTGAGTAAAGAGAAACTTGGACACAAGGAATACAAAATCATTTAGCAGAATGGTTGAAAAGTGTTAGAAATTAGAGGACATGACTATCACACTTAGGCACTCAGAGCACATGCACAATTGTACCTGATCAGTTCTAGCTGAGCCAGTTCCAGGTTGGCTTGAAATATAGGCTTCTTTGTAAACAGTTCCCCAAGGATGCATCTAGAAAGAGTAAAATTGAGAGGTCAGAAGAGAAATCCCTGAAGCCTAATTAAAGTGTGTCTCAATAAACTTTTATAGTATATATAAACTTTTATAGTATATATACCATGTTGTAAATCAACCCGAAACTGCAGTGTCTGAGTTTCGTAACAGAAAATATATTTCTTGCAGTGAAAACATACACTATAAAGGATCTAAATTTGCCAGCAGATCGAACCCTTGCCAACTATAAAGGATAGTCTATATATAAGCATAGAAAAAGAGTCAAGAGTCCTTTTCTATATATTTCATTGTAAATTAAGAAAATAACTAAAGACTAAAATATCCATGTTTCATTTTACAAGGATGCTCAGCAGTTCCTACAGTGTAACTACACTATAGCCCTCTTGGCACTATTTGTAAAAAAAAAGTTTATCGTCATTAGCCAAGAACAGTTTCAACAGGACTGTCACAAATACATTATGCTTAAACACCTTTATCATTTTGAAAAGACCTTTCAAAAACTATATTGACATATTTAGTCTCCAAATTTTTCTCCACAAATTACTTATTACAAACGGAAAACTAGTAACAATTCAGTGGGAGGAAAGACAACCAAGTGACCAAAGTTAACATCAGTAAGAGGCAAACAGGGTTCATGTTAGTACAAATGTGATACCTGAAAAGAACACTTATAGAGTGAATATTCCAGCCAAAAACTCATAACCTGAACCTACTGAATCTGTAGTCTTCAAAAATGTAAAAGTTATAAAAGACAAAGAAAGATTAAGGAACTATTTCAGATTAAAGATGACAACTAAATGTAATAAATGATACTGGATAGTATCCTCTATTATGAGAGGTATTGTTTCCAGGACATTATTTAGGGTAGTGACAAAATAAGAATACGAAATGTTAAGTATTGTATTAAATGTAGTGTATGAATGTTAAATTCCCTGAATTTAATCATTATATTGTGATTATTTAAGAGATTATCTTTGTTCTTAGAAAATGTACATTAAATATTAAGAGGGAAAGGAGCATGATATATACAACTACTTTCAAATAGTTCTGGGAAAAATATTTGGTATATTTATAAGCATACATTTTATTCTATTTATATATTTATATGACATACATATGCACACATATATATATACATAAATGAATATAAAAGCAAATGTGTCAAGATGTTAAAAATTAGTGAAGTCCTGGCTGGTGTGGCTCAGTTGGTTAGAGCATCATCCTGTAAACCCGAAGGTCATGGGTTCAATACCTGGTTAGGGTACATACTTAAGTTGTGGATTTGGTCCTGGCTGGGGCATGTACAAGAGGCAACCGATCCATGTTCCTCTCTCACATTCTCACCCTCCCTTCCCTTATTTCTAAAATCAGTGATTATGTCCTTGGGTGAGAATTAAAAAAAAAAAAAAGTGAATCTAATATGAATGAATCTCAGTATAATTATGTTGAGTAAAAGATGCGAGAGGAGCCCTGGCCAGGGCTCAGTTGGTTCAGTTGGCTGGAGGGTTGTTCCATAAACCAAAAGGTTATGGGTTCAATTCCCAGTCAGGGCACACGCCTAGATTGCATGTTCGATCTCCAGTCGGGAAGTGTACAGGAGGAAACTGATTGATGTTTCTCTCTCACTTTGAGGTTCCTGTTTCTCTTTCTCTCTCTCCTACTCCCTCTCTCTCTAAAATCTATAGACATATCCTCAGGTAAGATTAAAAAATTTAAAAATCAGATAAAAAATGATGCAAGAGGAAAAAACATACATTTACTGTATGATTCCAATTCTATAAAAGTCTAGAAATGAAAATTAATCAACAGTGGTAGAAAGAAGAACAATGACTGCCTGGGAATGGGATGGTGTAGACAGGAGATTACAAAGCAGCACATGGAAACATGTAGGTAATGGTTTCACTGGTTTATACAATATGCATATGTTAAATATATAGTTTATTATATACCTCAATTAAAAGGTTAAACACATTTAGTAAATCTGAAAAAGGCTACACTTTGTACTGTTCTCGTAAGTTTTCTGTACATTTAAAATTACTTCAAAATAAACTTAAAAACAAATGAAAAATATGAATACTTTATACTTTTCTGTATGCATGAAATATTTCACTTTTTAAAGTGGGAAAAGATGCCCTGGCTGGTATAGCTCAGTGGGTTGAGCATGGGCTGTGAACCAAAGGGTCACGGGTTCCATTTTCAGTCAGGGCACATGCCTGGGTTGTGGGCCAGGTCCCCAGTGGGGGGCATGTGAGAGGCAACCACACACTGATGTTTCTCTCCCTCTCTTTCTTTCTCCCTCTCTCCCCACCACCAAATAAATAAATAAATAAATCCTAAAAAAAAAAAAAGAAAAAGAAAAGAAACCATTAAAAAATAAAGTGGGAAAAGAAAAAAATGGACAAAGAAGTCTCTTCTTTGGTCTGTATTTTGATATGAGATTTATTCAAAAATATAAAACCAGTGTTTATATACATGCTTTTACTTAAAAATTATTTAGCTTGACTAAATTTCAGAAAGCAAAACAAACCTAGCTCTTAAAGTTATTCATACCTTCTTATTAGTATTTGTTAATGTTAATGACAAATTCTTACTTCTTATGTTGTGTCAAATCTTATCCAGAGATAAAAAAGTAAAATAAAATTTAATTCTGTTTCCAACATCAACTGCCAAACAAAATTCCAAATACAGTGGCTGAGAGAAAACCTAACCAACCAACCAACCAACCAGCCAACCCAGCTGGGTTTTGAGACTCTAGGTACAATGCATTGTACTAGTCTTTCTAGTTTCTCCCCAGAATTTCACATTGAACTGCTCCAGCAATTCTCTGATATGAATATCGTACAAAAATATCTTCAGAGAGACTACCTTTCATCACCAAGTAGTAAGCTCAATTCAACAAGTCATTGTGCTTTAAAGAAAGTCTAATTTTCTATAATTTTGATTTACAGTTGTGTTTTTGTATTTCCTTTTTTTTTAAATTTCAGTTTCCAGTCCTTTAATAGGGAAGACCATCATTATGCAATCAACACTTTGCTATCACACGAAGGTGGCAGGTTGCAGAGACTGAAATAATAGTACCAATAGAGCTAAGAACTTTCCCTGTGCATCTTAATGGAGCGTTAACTTTAGAGCCTAGTTGTGACAATTTAAATGCTAATACTATTAAAGCAAATAGTCCAGAACATAAACACACCCAGCTTGAGTCAGTAAAATTTAACTAAAGCTTCATTTGAGTTAGATAGGCTACCACAGAAATTATGCTGTCTTTCTCCTTCACCCTTTTGAATTTTGAAATAAAACTCCTGCAGTGCCTCCTTTAAAGAATGTTATTAATAGAGGCCAAGAATGGGGAAAAGTGATATGCTCCACTGGCAAATATGTATGTCAGAAGCCTAAAACACTGAGGTCAAAGACCATCTATGTATGTATAAGTCATAGAGCGTAAGAAACAATGAACAAATATTCCCCTTACAAACAAATGGTGAATAGTTTCCACACAAAAGAACTAAGACTCCTTGGCGCAAGGGTGTCAAACTCGTTTTCACCAGAGTCCACATCAGCCTTGAGGTTGCCTTCTAAGGGCCCAATGCAATTTTAGGACTGCGTAAATGTAACTACTTCTTAACTAGGGGCAAGGAGTTCAGAGCTGCTGGGTAGAAACAAGGTGCCAGGCCAGATAAAACAAGGTAGAGGGCCAGATTCGGCCCTCAGGCCTTGTGTTTGCCACCTGTGCCTTAGGGAAATGGCCGATGCCAGGTGTGGGGCAGGAAATAAAGAGGATGAGTCTGGAACCAGAAAAAATAGAATGTAATAAAAGACTACTGTGGATGTATCAAAAGGATTCAAGAATTAACCTGAATAAACTCCCACCAGCCAAAGACTGGACAGTTTGCACAGGACTAAGGATGATAACCATAACAGAGTAAAACACATCATATATGTTTAGTTCCACAAGTTCATTATGAAACTTTATAAAGAACAAGGCCCCAAAACCCTCTCTGGTCATCTTTAGAGAATGCTAGGAAACCACCTCTTTATCTTGTAACCTGGTAAATAAAAGAATCAAACCTTTTCCATATCACTTGTACCCACAGTTAGCCAAATAAATGTTATTTTTATTCCAGGAAGGAATGTTATAATTAGAATATCACCATCACAAAACAACTACAAATGAATTAATGGATATGGATCATTAATAGCTGATAACATTTCTTTCTTTTAAAAAATTTTTTATTTACTGATTTTAGAGGGGGACATCAATTTGTTGTTCTACTTATTTATGCATTTATTGGTTGATTCTTACCTGATAAGGAGATCGAACCCCGCAACCTTTGGGTATTGGGATGGTATTCTAACCAACTGAGCACACCCAGCCAAGGCTTGCTAATGCTCACTGATAACATCTCAAAAAGACAATTATATATTATGTAAAGTGGTGTGTGTGCATGCATAAATCTGCCCTAGTAGGAACATTTTATCAGACACTGTTCAGAATTGTCTGTATAAGGTGGTAATAAAAAGCAGACTATTATGTAGTGGATTATTTTACTGTTTTTAAATTCTTCACAGATACGGTACCCAGTTATTGCCTGTACTCTGGACAGAGGCTCCTGGTGTCTCCCATATACAACTCTGATGTACCATTGACAATATAATCTGTCAGAAGTACTCAAAACCATTTGTAAAGTAGATTCAGGGTCAGTGGGTGATTAGGAATCAAACCTGAATTCACCCACAATTTACAGAAAATAAAAGGAACAGAGAACCATGCTAAAAAATATCATCAGGAGGATGTAATCAGCAGAATCCAGACTGCGGGAGACTTCATAGAACAAATGACCCAGTTTCTTCTAAGGAAACTGTAATGGGGGTGAGGGGACCCAATACAGATAAAGGGAGAATCTACAATTAAAAGACTTCAGATAATCAATGGAAATCCATATATCTTATTTGACTGTATTTGGATCCCAATTCAAACTAAATTAAAAGAAAGAAAATGACAATTGGTGAAATGTTAAAAAAGTATTTCTGCCCTGGCTGGTGTGGCTCAATGGATTGAGTGCTGGCCTATGAACCAAGGGGTTGCAGGTTCGATTCCCAGTCAGGGCACATGCCTGGGCTGCAGGCCAGGTCCCCAGTAGGGGGGTACGCGAGAAGCAACCACACATTGATGTTTCTCTCCTTCTCTTTCTCCCTCTCATCCCCTCTCTATAAAAATAAATAAATAAAAATTAAAAAAAGTAGTATTCAACATGCTTCTCTGAAATCCAAGAGTTTAACCCCACCCTTTTGAACTTAAAGAAAAGCTGCAAAAAAGTCCATGTGGAGAGAGAACACGATACAAGTTCAACATGAGAGTTACAAACAAAAGAAAAAATGAAGGGAGCCTTACCCACAGCTCCAAACATCTATGGCTGGTGTATAACGCTCCTCTCCCAGCAGAAGTTCTGGAGGTCGGTACCACAGAGTAATGACTTTATTTGTATAAGGGCGACTAAAATGTGGAAAAAATGACATAAATTTACAATGGCTTCTGATGCAATATACTTGTACAATTAAATGCAAATAGAAATAGCTGTCAATTGAAGATAGGACTTTCAAAACAGCTCCATAGCAACCTAATAGTTCAAAAGTAAATTGGACAAAAGTAGGAAGGGAAGAAATAACTTCCATTCCAATTTGGGGTGGTTCCTTTTAGTCTAAGGCTAATCTAAGAATTTTGATAGAGCCCTGGCTGGTGTGGCTCAGTGGATTGAGCACAGGCTGTGAACTAAAAGGCCACCAGTTTGATTCCCAGTCAGGGCAAGTGCCTGGGTTGCGGGGCCAGGTCCCCAGCGGGGGCCACATGACAGGCAACCACACATTGATGTTTTTCTCCCTCTTTTCCCTTCTCTCTAAAAATAAATAAAACTAAAAAAAAAAAAAAAAGAATTTAGATAGAATTTACTGTCTACAATCTAGGTAGTAACACATTTATAAAATTAGGGAACTCAGACACTTGTTACAACTTGCAGGATACTAGGATATCCAAGAATAAAAAGCATTCTTTCCTATTTCCCACATGTAATTTTGGTGAATGTCTCACCTTTCTTCAGAGTTATAGAGCCGAGCAAGTCCAAAATCTGCTAGTTTGATCTGCCCGCTGTAAAACAAAAACAATTACTTTCATAAGTAACAGCAACAACTTCACATCATACCTAAAAAAGGCAAAGATTAATTTAGGAGTTAAAAACATTACACAAAAATTAATTTTAACCTCTGCTCTTTGTTCTACTTTTAATGGTCACTCTCCCAGGTTAAGTATCTTTTGACTACTCCAGTTTACAAAACCTTAGGGTTGTTTTTTTTTTAACTACCATATTTTTGGATTTGACTCAATTAAATATATTATTTATTTCTTGGCAAACAACACTGACTAGAACCTGCAATACTAAATATAAATTATTGAGGGGGAAAAATGAACTGTTCTAGATTAAGAAAGATTTAAGAGACCTAACAATTATATCCAATTCATAATCTTTGACTGATTCTGGTTTGAACAACTAGGTATACAAGACATTTTTCATGTAACCGAAAAAAAACACAGACTCCAGCAAAAGTAACGCTTGCTTGAGTGCAGTTGCTAAGGTAATAGTATAGGTGTAGTAATTTATAGTTTTAATTTGAACATTTCATCTAAAATGTCATATGGTGTGCTTGAGTGTGATATTGTTATGTTACAGAGTTACACGCTCATGGTTTTGTAATAAAAGATTCTGTAATAAAAAAGGGGTGTTACTTGTGCCAGACACTATATAATATATGGACTGAATGTTGGAAGTTAATAGGTAATAGTTAATTTGTCAGAGTATTTAAGGTCAAATGTAATGATGTCCGTGATTTACTTTAAAATAACCCAAGCAGAAAAATAAAAAGCAAATATAGTAAAATGTTAATTGTATATGTATTAACTAGTAAGTAAACTATTGTCTCAATTTTTTATTTTAATTTGACATTTTTCATAATAAACAGTAAATAACACTGTGGCGGTAACAGATTTTTTCAAACAGGCAACATAACTTTGATCAGAGCAAACAATTTTTATGATGAATGAGACCGTCTACCAAAATAATGTCATCACTTCCTTTACCATAACAATATACAACTATGACCTTAGAGGGGCTCTCAAACTTTAGTATGAAGTAAAAATCACCTGGAAAGCTTGTTAAAAGTATCCTGGGCCCCATTCCCAGAGATGCTGATTCAGTAGGTCATAGCCCCAAAACCTGAATTTCTAACAAGCCCACTGGTGATGCCAGTGCTGCTGTTCTGAACTATATGCTTTGAGAACTACTTCCTTGAAGGGATCATACCTACATTTCACTCTACTAAGTATTCTGTCTTTGATGGTGATGTCAAGTAATATTTTAATAACTACAACACGAAATGTTGGGAAACTATTAAAAAAACATTTATTATTTCAGATTAATCATATTTGTCTAAATTATTTTGTAGACTATCTATTTACATGTACAGCTTGTGTTACCTCTTGGGGAATGAAAAGCCAGCTCACTCCTTTTTTAGAGATTGGGGATATCTCAGGTGTATGACAGGTCAGATAGAAAGATGAGATAGAAATGAAAAAAGAGGCTATGCTGTGAGGTGCTCCTCAAAGTACCAGCAATGGGACAGAATAGTAAAACAAAGTACTACAGGCATACAGTATTTCATTGGACTTTGATTTATTGTACTTTCATGAACACAAGACAAGACCCTTCACCAGCAAAAAAAAATTAGGAGTCACTGAAGGCTCAGAAAATAGTTAGCATGTTTTAGCAACAAAATATCTTTTTAAATGTTCATTGATTTTAGAGAGAAGGGGGACATACAGAGAGAGAAACATCTATCAGGTGCCTCCCATACAAACTTCCTGCAACCCAGGTATGTGCCCTGACCAGGAATCGAACCTGCAATGCTTTGGATATACAGGATGATGCTACAACCAATTGAGCCACACTGGCCAGGGCCAAAGTATCTTTTAAATTAAGGTATAGCCCTGGACACTGTGGCTCACTGGATTGAGTGCCAGCCTGTGAACCAAAGGGTTGCCGGTTCGATTACCAGTCAGGGCACATGCCTGGGTTGCTGGCCAGGTTCCCAGTTGAGGGTGTACTAGAGGCAACCACATATTAATGTTTCTCTCTTTCTCTTTCCCTTCCCCTCTCCCTAAACATAAATAAATAAAATCTTTAAAAATAAAATAAAATAAGGTATTTACATTTTCTTTAGACATAATGCTATTGTATTCTCAATAGGCTACAACATAGTGTAAAGGTAACTTTTATATGCACTAGGAAAACAAAAAGTTCATATGACTCGCTTTACTGCAAATTTGCTTTATTGCGGTGGTCTGGTACCAAACTCGCAATACCTCCAAGGCATGCCTGTAACAACAAAATTTTACATTAAATCAACTCTAATCATTCCTAGTTAAGATTAAGGACATCTTACCTACTTGCTCCAAACTTCATTATATTTTAAAGCTCAATTTATAAGCAAATTCCGAGAAAAGCAAAAAAGAAAAAAAAAACAGCTGACTTGAATACAAAAAGCATTCCTCAAATTTCTTGGCATCCTTATTCTGAGGGTCTGAGATGATCCAAGACTCAAGGTATACAACAGACTGCTTAAAATGGCAATAGACATAGGAAAAAGGCTAGACCTAACATCACCAGCACCTCACACATTTCCTAATCCATCCTCTCTCCCTTCTCACTGTTGGTAATGACCTTCACTGAAAACAGAAGTCACCAGGTGAGAGCTACTTAACATCCTATTACCTACAAACTTCTTCCACCTATAACGTTCTTTCTTTTCCTTCAATTACAGAACAAGTGTGTCAATCTCTTGTTCAAGGATAATTAACACCTATACTTGTGGCTACTACCACCTGTAGCCTTCATCTCAACTCCTCTAGAAACTTGTTCCTTTAAATTATTTTGGATCTTTCCTGAATCTTCAACTTCTCTTTTCTTTTCCATTAGCATTTAAATATGCTCAAACCTCTGCATCCCTAAATAAAAAATTAAAATTAAAAACTAAAGACACACCACCATCACTTTCCTATTAATTGTGTTACCCACTTATCCCACACTGTCTCCATTGACCTTTTAATCTTCAGATTCTCTTAACTCACTTCTTAAACTTGCCTATTTTGCATTCATGATATTCTTTATTTTCTTCCTATTTCTCTGATCATTCTCTTGGCTTCTATCTTCTTACATCTTTTCTATTCTTGATAACCCCTGAATCTGCATATACTGCTAGTCTGGAACTCCCATGTGACCTATTAGTCCTGTTCCCCTACCCTCTCTCATCAACTGCTCTCTCTTTCTTGTCCAGCTGAAGACTCCTTACAATTCTCTCCAGGCCATCTCACCCAAAGTCTCTGTGTAGCCAGAATTGAATGGGCAAGAGCAGAAGTTGAATGGATCATACTAGACCATGAGACTCCTACAACCCACTTAGTTTCCTGAATTTTCTGAATGTGGGAAGATGGGAACAGGGAAGGGCCTGACCCAACCAGAAAGGACACCAAGCAGGACTTCAGTTATTCCCTGGCCTGAGATAGCCCCCACTGAGAAGTAAAAGGAACAGAGGAAAGTATGATAATACTATATAGTCCAGGAAAGCTGCAAGCTGATAGCCATCAAGTTCTTGAAGCCTTACTATTACGGGTATAGATTAACCAAACCCAGCTTTAATGAAAATTGTGGGTCATAGAGATAGCAACAGAAAGAAATAATCTCGTAACACCATATTTTGTCTCATAAAAATATTTAAGTATATATTAAACAAATATATACAGTTTATATATTTTTAATTTAAATAATGTATTAATTATACAATTTAAAAACAAAGAATTAAATTAACCAACATCCTTCAGTGGCTGTCACCTACAAAGTTTAAGCTCCTTAGTGACGCATACAAAATCTTTAAATTGTTTCCCTGCAACTGTCCAACTTTACCCTTCCTGCCCCAGCAATACCAATATTTTAGTTTTCTGGATTATGTTGTGTTATTTTCACATTTATGTGCTTCTGTCTGTGCAATTTCTTTTGCCTAGAAACTTAGCCCTCTGTTGTCAGTCTTTCTGATAAATCCCTAGACGGCATTCCTCTAGACGGTATCTTCCCAGGTACTCCCAAATTTAAAAAAATAAAGGGGGGATCTTAATAAATGTGTATTGAATTGAGTTATTTACTTGTTTAGCTCCCTACTAAACTCAGAGCTCTCCAGTGACCAACCACCCTGCATGGGACTTTGAGTGCTAAAACTAGGAGAGTCCTGGGCAGCCCTGGATGACTGGTTACCCCACTACACAAAGACAGAAAATACAGAATCATTTCATACTCCTATAATAAATAATGTTCGCTGAATATAATTGAACAATGGGTGATTCAGACAAAGATGACTGTAAACAGCCCCATTTCCTAAAAAAACAAACACTGGACTGATTTCAATAATGCCAAACTTGCTTTTTATTCCTCAATGGATAGGGCTATCACCAAAGATTACTGTGCATAAAACCTCTGATATTACCAATGTAGTTTAGGTAAACGGCCAGAAAGGAAGAAAGCAAATGATAAAAACTTCTGAAGAATCAGCACTGTTCCTCACCAAATTCATGTCTGCCTATAATGCTAAAACATGGAAGTTTTAAGTACCGGTCAGAAAGGTCAATCACCAACTGTACACCTGTGTTTACTCTGAAATTTGATAACTGAGAAAGTCTCAAGAAGAGCTAAAACAGCAGGCATATGTTTCTCCCCACTAAACAAGGGAGAGTTTCATTAAGAATAGTCATCTGAATATTTCTGTAGGATGTGAGTGACTCCTTAAAATGTTTGCAATTTATAACCTTACCTCTGTTAATTCCTTACCAACAATGAAGTCTGGAAACTGCTGATCAGGATAACCCTATTATAAGTTGTTCCTAAGGTACAAACCTCAGATGTATGTAAATGAAAAAACTGTGTTATTGGATCCACCTATCATCCCAATTTACTAACTTAAACTAAGAGGTTCAAAAGACAGAGAAAAAGTGCTTAACCTCATTTGGTTTTACTATGTTACCTGTTGTTCAGCAAAATGTTAGAACACTTAATATCCCGATGCAGGAAATTCTTTTTATGACAGTAATCCAATCCTTCCATTAGCTGTTTCATGAATGACTTGATATGATCCTCAGAAAAGTGCACCAAACCAGATTCTAGCAGTCCCATTAAGTCATGGTCCATATACTCAAATACAAGGTAAAAGGCACCTACATAAAAGAAACATTAAAAACAATAGTAAAAGAACATGAAACGACAATGCCCTAAATTTTAATATAATTTGGGAGTTGACCATGAGGCTCTCTGGAACAAATGTGTAATTTTATAAATGAAGAAAACGGAAACTCAGAGGAGTTGAAAAACTTGCCCTTTCTAATAATAACTAACAGAACTATTAACTGAATTCATCTTCTGACTCCTTATCCAGGGCTCTCTAGATTACTATGTCTTGAGGGGCACAAGTGCTTCAGTCATACTGTATAACTATTTTTTTTATTTAAGTCCATTGGCTAAGTACAGACCTTGGGCCAAATCCAGTCTGTTTGTCAGTTGTAAATAAAGTTTTCTTTGTAACACACAACCATGTCCATTTGTTATATTGTCTATGACTACTTTTGTAGAAGTCTGTACACCTTAGTTTAATAGGACCCACACAATACGCCAGGGCAGAATATTTATAATATTTGGTATAAATTATTAGTAAAATTCATAATATGTAAGAATTGAAAGAAAAATGAATCATCTAATTAAATTACCTAAATTTAGAAGTAGATAAAAAAAGTGCACTAAAAAAACTTTAAAACATTTGAAATTCACACTGTCATGCCACTTTCAACAGCGTGCCTGATAGAGAAAAATATGACATAAATTCTAGACCTAGTTAAAAAATGAGATATCCAGTCTAAAAGTCTGTCTCCTAGTAACACAAAGGCAAGAATTCTCAATCTGGGGGGTAGGCTTCAAGGACTTTGAATTCTCTAAAATGTGCAACATTAAAAAAATATATGCAGTATTAAAAAAAAAATCCATCTTTGATGAGGTCCATGACCCCCCCAAAACCTAAGAACCACTGCAATAAAGGAGTATCTTAAAGAGATTTGGCTACAACCTTATACAAATGAATAAGAAAAAGTCAAAAATTGCAAAACAAAAGTAGACAAAGGACATAAAAGTGACAACCCAAAAAAGAGAAAATAAGTAAAACTGAAAAACACAGGTCAAACTCAGAAGTAATACAAGAAATGCAATCCAAGTCCTGGCCAGGTAGCTCAGTTGGTTAGAGCATTGTCCCAATATGCCAAGGCTGCAGGTTCCATCCCTGATAAGGGCACATACAAGAATCAACCAATGAATGCATCCATGTTTCTCTCTCTCTACCTCTAAAATCAGTAAAAAGAAAAAAAGAAAAAAGAAATCCAGTCCTAGCTGGTATGGCTCAGTGGATTGAGTGCTGACCTAGGAACCAGAAATCAAAGGGTCTCTGGTTCGATTCCCAGTCAGGGCACATGCCTGGGTTGCCGGCCATGTCCCCAGGAGGGGGCAAGAAAGAGGCAACCACACATAGATGTTTCTCTCCCTCTTTTTTCCTCTCTCTAAAAAAATAAATAAAATCTTTTAAAAAATCAATCCAAAATATCATACTTCACCTATCAAATGACCAAAAACAAAATGTGCTCCATTAAAAAAATCAATACATAAAAAATATGTACTCAATGTTAGGGAGAATAACATGGGATAGACACTCACAGGTGGGACATAAATTATTATTCTCTTCCTAAAAAGCAACCCAAACATTAAATATGAAAACCCCTCTGACCAAATAATTATTTTCTCAGAAACTATTAAGAAATAAATCTAGACCCTGGCTGAGAAGCTCACTTGATTACAGCGTCATCTCATTAGCAAAGATTTTGGGTTTGCTCCCTGGCCAGGGCACATACACAAATCAACCAATGAATTATAAACAAGTGGAACAACAGAATTGATGCCTCTCTCTCCCCCCACCTGCCCCAACTTTCTCTTGCTCTCTAAAATCCATAAATAAAAAGTTTTAAAAGAGAAAGAAATCTAAATGTAAAGATTTATGCACAAAGATGCTTAATGTAGTGCTCTTACATATTTTTTTCAAACTGGCAATTGCTCAACAGGGACTGGTAAAGAAAATTTGTATTCATCTATCTTTATGCACAGTTATTAAAACATGTTAATAATAAAATAAATTGCTCATGACAAGCTACACAACACTAAGTATACTTTGATCTCAGTAATATTTAAATACATATAAAGTACTAGAAAAAAAACATGTGCTCTGGTTGAGTAACTTAGTTGGTTAGAGCATGGTCCCAATATGCCAAGCTGCGGGACTGATCCCCAGCCAGAGCATTTATTTTCTTTTTCTTTTTTTCTTTCTTTCTTTTTTTTATGTTACTTACTTTTAGAGAGAGTGGAAGGGAGGGAGAGAGGGAGAGAAACATCAATATGTGGTTGCCTCTCACACACCCGCAACTGGGGACCCAGACCACAACACAGGCGTGTGCCCTGACTGGGAATCAAACCAGCAACCCTTTGGTTCACAGGCCAGCACTCAATCCACACCAGCCAGGGGGATTGACATTTTCTTTTCTTTTTTTTTTTTTAAGATTTTATTTATTTATTTTTAGAGAGGGAAGGGAGGGAGAAAGAGAGAGAAAGAAACATCACTGTGCGGTTACTGGGGGCCTTGGCCTGCAACCCAGGCATGTGCCCTGACTGGGAATTGAACCTGCGATGCTTTGGTTTGCAGCCCACGCTCAATCCACTGAGCTACACCAGCCAGGGCTGACATTTTCTTTTTTTAAAGATTTATTTATTTTTAGAGAGAGGGGAAGGGAGGGAAAGGGAGAGAAACATCAATGCATGGATGCCTCTGACATGATCCCAACTGGGTACCTGGCTTGTAACCCAGACATGTGCCCTGACTGGGAATTGAACCGGCAACCCTTTGGTTCACAGCCCGCACTCAATCCACTGAGCTACACCAGCCAGGGCAACATTTTCTTATTCTTCTATATTTTCAATTTTTCCACAATGGGTATGCACTGCATCTATCCATTCATTATCTTATTATTTAAAAAAAAAAAAAAAAAGAACTTCAGGCAACCACTGTAAAGGACATATGGAGAAAACCAAGGGGGAGGGTGGAAGCAAGGGAGGGAGGTGGGCTTGGCTGGGGTGGGGAGGAGTGATGGGGAGAAAATGCAGACAATTGTAATTGAACAATAAAATTTTTTTAACTTGTATTTTTTTAATCTTATTTATTAATTTTTAGAGAGGGGAATGGAGGGAGAAAGAGAGGAAGAGAAACATTAATTTGTGGTTGCCTTTTGTGCACCCCTTACTGGGGACCTGGCCTGCAACCCAGGCATGTGCCCTGATTGGGAATCAAACTGGTGACCCTTTGGCTCACAGGGCAGCATTCAATCCACTGAGCCACAGCAGCCAGGGCACAATAAAATATTTTTTTTTTAATTAAAAAAGCCATAGCTAATAAAAAAAAAATTTAAACAGGCATGACAAATTATTTAAACAGTACATAATGGCATGGTCAAGTCTCTCTCCAGAAGCAATCAATTAACATTTTCTTGTGCATTCTTACAGAAACTACACAATTAATTACTTTTATAATCAGAAAAAGTTAAGACATGCCAGGATATAAACCTAATATCATATCTAACTTACATAAATTTATCTAAATACTGTTGCATAAGCAGAATTTCCTTTTACTTGCTTTAAAACTATTTCTACCAACATGAAAGGTGCTACTTCCCAGGGTTACTTAGTATTTTTTTTTAAAGATTTTATTTATTTTTAGAGTGAAAAAGAGGGAGAAAGGGAACGAAACGTCAATGTGGCCTGCAACCCAGACATGTGCCCTAGACTGGGAATCGAACTGGCAACCCTTTGGTTTGCAGGCCAGTGCTCAATCCACTGAGCCAAACCAGCCAGGGCTGAAGGTTGTTTTTAGAAATATCTGCTTTGAATTCTAAACTGTATTAGTTAAAAATTACGTAAAAATATGGATGCACATAAACAATAACCAGAAAGGATGATGTAAAAATGAGAGTAAGAAGCAAATTCATATAAAGAAAAAACTGATGGTTGCCAAATAGGTGAGGGGTGAGAGGATGGGCAAAAAAGGTAAAAAGGATTAAGCAGTACAAACTGCCAATGATAAAATCAGTCACGGAGAATACAGCATAGGGAATAATGTATATCATAGGGAATATTGCCAGTAGTATTATAATAACTACATATGATGACAGATAGTTACTAAACTTGTGGTGATCACATAGTAAGGGACATGAATGTCTCTAGTCACTATGTCGTACAGCTGAAAGTAATATAAAATGTAAACTATAATTAAAAACAAATTTTAAAAATTAGAGTAAATAAGTCTGGGTTTTAATTTTCATTATTATAATTTGTAAAAAAGAGATTTTAAAACATTGGTTAGAAGAGAATCTTATAATTATTTATATCCTGGCCATATTAGGTGGTACAGCAGACTCTAATTTTAATAAATAACAATGACTTCTAAAAGTATAAGAGTGCTCTGATGAAGAATGGGAATTTTATAAAATGAGCACTTTTCAGAACAAGTGCAATCCAGTAACTAACATCTTGATTCTGGTACAGGTTCAAGAAAGAAGCTTGAGTCTAGTACAAACTGTTAAAACTATTCAAACAGGCAAACAAGCTAAGATAGGAAAGTAAAATGTAGCAATCTACTCTATACATAGTTCTTTGCACATACCTTTGTCCTTCTTGAAATCCAGTGCATCTTGTTTATCTGTGACAATTTCCTTCATGTTCACAACACTTCGGTGGATTAGCTGACGAAGAATTTTGATCTCACGAATGGCTGTGATTGGGAAGCCTTCTTTCTCATTGTCTAGTCTCACCTTCTTCAGGGCCACTAGCTCTCCTGTCACAGTAAATTAAAACTGTTATATTATCAATTAGCATTTGTTGACCACCATCATGAACCAGCCAATACATGCCCTTACTTTGAAAGACAGACTTAATGCCTATTTTAATGCTTTATACAGATACTTTTGCATCTTAATAAATCCCTAAATTCTCTTTCTTATCTTTAATTTCTTTAAGATTTGAATTTTTAATTCCATATTCAGTTAGGCCTAAAAATTTTGGTTATTAAAATACACCAGCCCTGGCTGGTGTGGCTCAGTGGATTAAGTGCCAGCCTGTGAACTGAAGGGTTGCTAGTTCAACCAGTTAGGACACATGCCTGGGTTGTGGGTCAAATCCCCAGTAGGGGGTGTACGACAGGCAACCAACCACACACTGATGTTTCTCTTCCTCTTTCTCCCTCCCTTCCCCTCTGTCTAAAAATAAAATAAATTTTAAAAAATCTAAATAAATAAATAAAATACACCAATAATTCAACTACATCATTTTATCTTCAAGGACTAATCCCTTACCAAAAAAAAAGCAACTTGTTTGTGGGGGGGATCGGAGTATAAGGGGACTAAATGGTAATAAAAAAAATCCATAAAAACAAAAAAATAAATATATCAAAAAAGAGCAACTTTTACATTTTATTTTTACCCTCTCTTAAATTCCAAGCAAACTTTTAATAAACATTCACAATAAACAACAAAAAAAGAGGGTTTTTAAACTGTAATAACTATACTATTCTTTTGGATAATTTCAGGATCTTTTGTAACTTTTGAGACCAAGTTAGAACTCAAAATGTGCTTTTTCTAAATCTTCATAAGACATTAGTACTGCTAACTTTTTAAGCTGACACCTATACTTTGTAGGCAGTATTTACCTGTGTCTTTGTCCTTGGCTTTATATACTTGGCCATAGGTTCCCTCTCCAATAATCCCAATAATGTCAAACTTGTCCACACAGCGTTTTCCCCAATCACTTTCTGTTTGTCTTCTTTCTCCGTAACGAGGACAACAAATTCTAAAAATGGCAAAACAAAATAAAAAAAAGTTATTTTAAAAAATTAAGTCTACTCAAATAAAATAATTCTTTTATAATTTCTCTGACTCCTAAATCTTTTATGAATTTCTTTATTTAAAAGGCAGAAATTAATAATATGAAATAAATAGTTCAAATGGTCTCTCACAATGGATAAAACACAGATTTTTTTTTTTTTACTACAGAAAGACATAAGATAAAATAATAGATTTGCTGCTTACTTTCTTACCTCTTGATTATTTGCTTCCTCAACTACAGAATGGGAAAATAATCCCTACAACATAGGATCGCAATAAAAATAAAATATAAAACTTTGGCAATAAAACGTGCTCAGTAAAGGTAACTTTTTACTGAGAGAGGAATGCTAACAATCAGAGATCAAATCCAAATTGTACTATGATTATGGCATGGTAATTTATGTAATTTAAGTAATGGGTACATGGTTGACAAACCCTGAATAAAAGGGCTTTTTTGTCTTCAATACTCTAAATATTATGAAGTCAAAAGATACAATGGGATCAATGTTCATGGTATATTTGGATTGGGGAAATTATTGTTTTTCTGAAAACAAAACAAAACACCCAGCTAGGTTATCTGTGGATGCAGATGAATGGTCTCCTAGGTATGCTTTTATCCATTAAATAAAAGATATACATTAGACGCAATCTTCTATGATTCCACTGGTGCAGGTTGTATAAGAAAGTGTAAGATTTAGGTCCCAAGGTTCCTCACTGTAATAAAAGCTGTAATTAAGGATAGGTCCCTCCAAAAACTCACTTTGGTCTTTTTTTATATGGTTGTTGAGGTGGTGTGACTGCCTTTGGTTCTGGAGAGTCTGGAGGAGATGGATCCCCACCAGGAAGCTCTGGAGGGAGAGGGAGGTCCGTGAGTAAGTGACGTGGCCTTTGTTCCTTCTCCTTCTTTACTGGTTTTGAAGGCAGAGTTTCTTTTGGACTAAGCAATAGAGATGAAGAAAAGAAAAAGATCACAATTACTTAAAGGATATGCAAATAAAACTTTCAAATATTAGAATGTCTGGCTATTTAAAGATTACAACGATTTTACTTTTAAAGGAAAAAAACCCCTGTAATACAAGGTAAGAAAAAAGAGTTTATCAAAGTTAAAGATACTTGAGTTTTGCAAAGAGAAATCTATGGTATATTAAAGAAACAATAAAATTTTTACAATATACTTGTAGGTCCTTTAACAAACTATCCTTTAATGCCCTTCCCAAGATTCTATTTGGATTTTTACTGAGATGAAATGAAACGCAAGAAGTAATCATCTTAAATATGCAAAGTATCACTGCAACTCAGGAAGTCAGCAAACCTACTCCATATTTCAGCTGGCAAAGATTTAAATAACAAATGAAAGCTCAACAATAAAAAAACACTATATTGCTGAAGATGTGGAGAGAACTTGGAAAAAGAAATAAAGTTAAACTGGACATCAAAATTAGTGAAAAATACACTCACTTATTATTCCATTGGTTTGGATGCAAAAGACAACCATATCTGGCCAGCCAAAATGAATAAATAACTCTAAAACTAAAAATATAAAGAGAAAGAGTCCAAGCAACTATTTCAGTATTATTAAAGCAGGTAAAGCAGAAGGTCTCTAATGATAGTAAGTTACAGCTGTCAGTGGGTAGAAAAGAATGGCTTTTCTGGAACAGATTAGAAACCTCAGTTTTGAGATCCAATCTTTTAACTATCTCAATTTATTTATGAGTAAAAGAAGGATCTTGTGCAATGCATGTCCTCAGAAAAAATAGTACAGCATACTAATTCATACCTACAAATAAAACCATCCTAGATAGTAAGCCTTTTCTGTTCCATCAATAGTCTCAGAAGGCTGAAACAGATGTGAGAATCCTCCACTTTTTGACAAGTGGTCATAAAAAAACATATTATTCTTTTTCTTTTTAAACCACATTGTGACTTAGGCACCACATTTCTATTCATAAAAGTTGCTAGGTTACCTTTTGTGTTTTGCTCTGAGTTACCTTCGAAGAGCTTTACAAGATGCCTAGTCAGGCTTATAATTTTACTAAACAATGCTTTTCTTTGGGAAACAAGCTCTCTGGATAGTTACTCCCATCAAATTGGTTCAGTTTAATATACTAATAATTTCCAGAGGCCAGGTATATGCAGTTGGTAACTACGAGGGATGGAGGCTTAAAAGTAGAACTTAGAAGATTAAATATATTCTTTCACGAATACTTCCACAGAACCATAAAGAACAGTTCTATCCCTTGCAATGTACCCTTTAAAAATTTTTTTATTGATTGAATTTCAAGAGAGAGAGGAAGAGGGAACAAGAGAGAGAGACAGAGAAACATAGATTTGTTGTCCTACCCATTTATGCACTCATTGATTGATTCTTGTATGCACCCTGACTGGGAATCAAACCTGCAACCTTGGCATATCAAGACAATACTCCAACAAACTGAGTTACCCAGCCAGGGCTGCAATGTACCTTTTAGAAGCATACTGCTGCCCTTTGTTGTGAAACAATCTCTAAAGCTAAAGCTCTCTATCAATTTTCATCACTTTTTTTAATCCTCACCCAAGGAGAGAAAGAAAGGGGTGGGCGCAGGGGACGGGAGAAAAGAGATGGAGAGAGAAATACCTATATGAGAGAGAAACACTGATGGGCTGTGTTCCATACATGCCTGGACCAGGAATTGAACCTGCAGCCCTCTGGTGTACAGAATGATGCTCCAACCAATGAGCCACCTGGTCAGTGCCCAATTTTCATCATTTTAATCTCTTGTAAATCAGAATAGAATCTAGATTAGTTTGTACCCTACCAACCAGATGGAGTGCAAAGAATGATCTGAAACTCTGTTAAATCACTGATATGAGATGAACTTAAAACATTACAATTTTCACGACTTTTTCCACCCTGGGGTCAAGCCTATTACCAGGAAACTCTTGAGTCAGGATACAATATTGATTTTAAATTTCCCCATTTTTTCAGACATTCAGGGAAAGAAAACTTCTCATTTACCAACTAATGTCAGATAGTCTTTTGTATTTCTCAAAAACTATTTTTTAATTTTATTTTTCAGTTACAGCAGTTTACATTCAATATTATTTTATATTAGTTTCAGGCGTACGGCATAGTGGTTAGCAAAATGTTCTTTAAAAATATATTTATTTTTTAGACAGAGGGGAAGGGAGAAAGAGAAGGAGAGAAACATCAATGTGTGGTTGCTTCTCGCGTACCCCCCTACTAGGGACCTGGCCCACAACCCAGGCATGTGCCCTCCTGACTGGGAATCAAACCAGTGACCTTTTGGTTCACAGGCTACTGCTCAATCCATTGAGCCACACCAGTCAGGGCAGAATGTTCTTTATAAATTTCAATTCTTCATGATTCAGAAATACATTACTTCTTGGTTCTGCTTCACTAGAATCAAAGTATCTGAATTCTCTCACCATCATTTCATGTAAGTTCAATCTATGTTGTATATTTAAGGTCTTGTTTTTCTCCACTGTTTACGGGTTCAAATATAATTTGCTACTGTGAAAATACATATTGCTCTGGAAAAACAATCACATTATTAGCACTTTTTTTTTTCAGGAAAGAATGAGTATTTGACAGGATGTATATGTCTTATTAATTCAAGGCATACAAGTAGAATACAAACCAAATCCTGTTTCAACAAATTCCAATGTTCTAAAAACCTTGGAATAATGATGGCCCATAAAAATGCAATACAACATTATGGTCTCTAGCCTTTAGTGTAAGGCACTCAGTAAAATATAGCTCTAAATAGTTCTGAGGGACATATGGATGCCAAGAGATTCTAACATAGGGAAGCAGATACTGAACATCTAAGTTATTAAAGATTCAATAACAGGAAGTGTTAATCTACCTTCGTATCAGTACTTCCTGGTTCCCCATTTATACCTGTAGACAATTCACACATATGGTGAGCAGGTTGTATAATGTTCATGTATAAAAATTTACACAAAGTTGCCCTGGCTAGTGTGGCTCAGTGGATTGAGTGCTGGTCTGCGAACCGAAAGGCCGCCAATTTGATTCCCAGTCAAGGCACGTGCTTGGGTTGTGGGCCAGGTCCCCAGTTGGGGTTGCATGCAAGGCAACCACACGTTGATGCTTTTCTCCCTCTTTCTCCCTCCCTTCCGCTCTCTCTAAAAAGAAATACAATTTTTAAAAAATTTACCAAAAGTTGCCAAGGTCCAGGACTGCCCAAAGTTTAATAGTCTCTTTAAAATTTATAATGATAGGATTCAATCTATACAATGTAAACATCTCTAATATGTCTTTATTGTTAAAAAAGTATGAATTTACATATCAACTACTTAAAAAGAAAATTAATTTCTTCATAATTTAAAAAGCATAACCTAAATATGATCATTTATCCTCTTCCTCTTAGAGCAGGTTTCGTAAAAAGTGATTTATTTTTACAAACTTCAATTAAAAATTTGAGTTGATGACATTAAAAACAGGGACCAGGCATTCTATTAGCAAAATCCTAAATCAAATTTGAACGCTCATACAGATTCTTTTCTATGAACTCAGTACTTTATAAACAGCCTGTGAGAAGAGTGTAGGCTCTACAGAAGTCTAATAAACTCCAAATGAATAAGGCTATCAAAAAATAAAGTAAAATAAAATAAAAAGATTTAAAAAACTCTATGTGGATAACTGAAAATTTAAAGAGCATGCAGAGATTCTAATGAATGGCTATGTTCATGAAGAACATATTATATTGAAGTGGGTGTTTGGCGGCCTTTGCTTCTTGCAGCCAAGATTTGTAAATCATGAATCAGAAAGGCTTTTGCAATACCTTTAGTTAAACTCACTTCTGCATTTGATACCAGGGTAATACACTCCTGTCCAGTCTGTATGTTTGAAAGAAAATTTTCATTCTTTTCCCAAAAGGATTTTAATTAAAAGAAGAGAAAACCACCCTGGCTGGTGTGGCTTAGTGGACTGAGTACCAGCCTAAAAACCAAAGGGTTGCCAGTTCAATTCCCAGTCAGGGCACATGCTTGGGTGGTGGGCCAGGTCCCCAGTAGGGGTGCAGAAGAGGCAATCACACAGTGATATTTCTCTCCCTCCCTTCCTCTAAGAATGAATAAATGGAATCTTTAAAAAAAGGGGGGGGGGCAAATTCTCTATACAAGCTTTATATATAATCCATGTGCCAAATGATTTAACTACAGGCCCAATGTCATTTCACACAAGCCTTGACTCTGGCTCCTTCAGCAGTTTTACTTATTCATTCAAATAACCAATATTTACTGATTGCATTCTATGTACCATGTATAAAGCACTGTGGGCAATAAAAAGATATGTATCATATTCTCAACATTTAAACTGCTTCAATTTCAAATAAGATAAAGAAGACTATGAGTGAAATCCATACACAACTTTCAGATTTCTTCCTGAAAAGTTTTCTTACATAAAAATTATTTTTCATGTGAAAGATAGGTGCAACTGGTACATGGATAGAGTGGCACCCCCGAAAAAAAATATATATATATATACATACATATATGTGTGATCAAAAAAACAATCTTGAATTTAAAATTAATATACAGTGAAAAAATTGTGGTAGAAATCTTCATTTCCATTTTTCTACCTTTAATTATTTACTTGTATTATATGTGAAAAAAATTGATAACCTTCATTTAATAATTACATTGGACTGAAATAAAATACAGACTTTCAGAATCAGAACCGATATATAATAAAAAGTTTGCTCACTTCATTCTCTCTCATAAACATTCTTAAAGATAGCCACAAATATTGAACTAAGCACTGAATGTTCTTATTTTATCCTTCATTCCCAATCTGAAATACAGAAATCCTATGTGCCATTTATCAACATCATTCCATATCTGAAAATTTGCACTCTACATGACCCACAGTAGGTAGAATCAAGTTACTTGGTTAGCTAAATAAACATTTCAAAACAAAGATTCTTAGCCACACTAATATTGTGCTAGTCACTATATAAATTAATATTTGAAGTTCTTGTGGGTAAATAATGCCCTAGGGTCCCTCTGGATGATTTTCAACTGACAATATTACTTTTCCAACAAAAACTATAAAAACATATAGCCTGTATCTATAAGTATATTGTGTACCTCAAACAAACTTTTCTACATAAATTTTGGGTTCTATTCTTTTCCTTTGTAGTTCTCAGGATGTGGCAGAATTCATAAATACCTATTAATATTTTTAAAAGCATGTGGAATTTTTCTATAAAACCAGATTTACCACCATGATTAGTACTGGAGTCATTCTTTTAAATAGTTCCTTTCTTTCCTCCTTCATTTACTGCACTTGCACCTTCTTAAAAGCACAGATGGTAGTATGGAAAAATATAGACCTAAAGGGCTGAAATGTATCACTGTTCAAATTACCTATGTCATTTGGAAAGCAATGGAGGGTTGGGAATTGGTCTAGGATACACGATCAGTGGTGCTTATTTTTGTGCTTACAACAAAAGTTCAGTGCAGTGAACTAAACTCATATCCTAAAGAACAAGAGGGAAGGGTCTCAGTAGGAAAAAAACGGTAAAACAAACACTGTCATGGCATATGTCACTGCTAAATCATGTTTGGTGGTACTTGCCTAGCTATTCCTGCCAAGAAGTTAAATAAATGTATTTCCTAATGCCTTCCATAAAATCAGACTCATGCTTCATAATCATTCAATCAGTTCTCAATACTCAGAAGACACATTAAAATTAGAGCTTTTCCCATCACCCCATTGTAAATTTATATTCTAATTAGTAAATATTCTACATATTGTTCTTGTGCTTCCTATAGAATAACTTTTTTTAAGGAAAACTTTTTTTATATATATTTTTTTAATTTTTACTTTCTTTTTGTTTAAAGATTTTATTTATCTCTAGAGAGAGAAAGGAGGGAGATAGAGATAGAAAGAGAGATAGAGAGATAGAGAGAGAGAGAGAGAGAGAGAGAGAGAGAGAGAGAGAGAGAGAGAAACATCAATGTGTGGTTGCTGGGGGTCATGGCCTGCAACCCAGGAATGTACCCTGGCTGGGAATCGAACCTGCGACACTTTGGTTCGCCCCCGCGCTCAATCCACTGAGCTACGCCAGCCAGGGCTAAGGAAAACTTTTTTGATATAGTTTATTTTTCTCCTAGATCAGGAGGGGAAAAAAAACAGCTATAAAAGACATTTTAGGCACCACTGACGATATTCAATATTATTTATATTATGTTATTGATATTATTAGAGACATACTAAAGCACTCCAGAAGTGTCAAATATCAACAGTTAAAGCAAATGTGGCAAAAAGTTAACAACTGGTAAATCTAGGTGAAGCATATAAGGGTGTTAATTGTATCATTCTAAAGTTTTTAGAAGTTTCAATATTGCCCTGGCCGGTTGGCTTAGTTGGTTGGAGCGCAGTCCCGTAACTTAAGGGTAGCAGGTTCAATTCTGGTCAGGGCACATTCTGGGTTCAGTCCCCAGTTCCAGTGAATACGGGAGGCAACCAGTTGATGCTTCCCTCTTGAATGAATGTTTCTCTCTCCCTTCCTCTATCTAAAAAACAGTGGAAAAATGTCCTTTGGTGAGGATAAAAAAAAAAAAACTTTCAACATAAAAATTTAAGGAGAAAAATGCTACTTTTAAAAATTGAATCAGAATTAGCCTTATCAGTAAATAACATGAGAAAAAGAGTTACCTTTTGTAATTCTTCCTAAGTAATGTCATAAATAAGGACTTTTCCACTGAAAACTGATCAAAGGCATTTCCTATTCATAAAAGCATTGTAAATAGCCATGCATTAGAGTAGTTTTAACAAAGTTTGAGAACAAAAAATGTATTACACTTAGATCAAGCAGGTTAAGTTTTCTCAGTTAACTGTGGGACTTACCTATCCATGTCATCTTCTCCAAGTAGTAAGGGTGGGAGGGGCAGAGGAGGCAACGTTGATGTTTTTAGGTGTGGAATAGCAGCTGTTACAGATAATTGAGTCTTCATAGAAACCTGTACAGGGGGCTGAGAATTTGCCTGAGAGGACAGAGCAGATGTCCTTGGGTGAGTAGAAGGGGGCAAAGCCGAAGTGCTAGAAACAGGAACCTGACTAAATGCTGGTTGGGGAGGAGGCAGAGGTGGTTGCTGTGGAACAGCTGGTAGTGGAGGTAAAGGTGGCAAAGGGGGTGTCTGAGGTGGAGGGGTAGTAGTTGGTAAAGGAGGTGGAGAAGAAACTGTGGGGAGAGGCGGAAGGGTCTCCTTTTCTGATGTCTCTGTCTCTTTTGGAGTAACAATCTCCTCCTTCAACACCATTGGTTTAGAGTCTTTTGTTCCCTCTACTTTCAAATCTTTAAGAACAGGATGCTTCTCAGAGTTCTCATCCACCTTTACTTTCCCTGTATCTAAAGAATTTTTGGCCTCTGCATTTAGATGTGTTACATTCACTAGTTCAGTATCTGGGGCAGATTTTTCCAATTTTAAACCTCTGGGTAACTTTTTAGACTCCAAACCTGTATCCTTAGCTTCTACTGAACTGTTCTCTTTTCTAGCCAAAATAATAGGTGAACCCTTGGATTCCTTTCCATCCATTTTTGCTGCAGCAGCAGCTGCTGCTCTTTCCTTCTTCTTCCTACTGAGTTCAGCTCCCAAGCTGGAGTTCAATGGAAGCCTGACAGGTGAGATACTGGAATGTCGACTACGTGACCCGGATCTCTTCTTTTTACTATGAGAAGATGAGTGTCTTGAATATGCGGGACTTCTACTTCTAGACTTCAAGGATTTCCTAATGGAAAAAGAAAAAGGCAATTTAATGAACAGGCAATAGCAATATAAAAGCAAATACATCAGTTATGGAAAACTGTAACTTAAAAAACCCACTTTTGCCCTGGCTGGTGTAGCTCAGTGGACAGGGTACTGGCCTGTGGACCAAAAAGTTGAGGGTTTGATTTCAGTCAGGGCATATGACTGAGTTTCAGGCCAGGTTCCCAGTTGGGGGCCTGAAAGAGGCAACTGATCACACATTAATGTTTCTCTCCCTCTCTTTCTCCCTCCCCCTCCATCTAAAAAGAAATAAATAAAATATTAAAAAAGAAAAAAAAAACAAAAAACAAGCAAAACCCACTTTTGAGCCCTGGCCAGGCAGCTCAGCTGGTTAGAGTGTTGTCCCATGCACCAAGGTTGCAGGCTCCATCTGGGATCAGGACACATACAAGAAGTAACCAATGAATGCTTAAATAAATTTGAACAACCCATCAATGTTTCTCTCTCTCTCCCTTTCTCTCTCTTTCTCTAAAATTCAATAAAAAAAAAATTTTAAGTCCCACTTTGAGTAAGTTAGCAATCTTAAAAACAGATTAGGTATCAAGCCCTGGCTGACGTAGCCCAGTGGACTGAGCTCGAGCTGCGAACCAAAGTGTCACAGGTTTGATTCCCAGCCAGGGTACATGCCTGGGTTGCAGGCCATAACCCCCAGCAAACGCACATTGATGTTTCTCTTTCTCTTTCTCTCTCTCTCCCCCCCGCCCCCCCTTACCTCTCTAAAAATAAATAAATAAAATCTTTTAAAAAATAGATTAGGTATCAAATAATAATAAACTAATATTGGTTCATTAATTATAACAAATGTCCCATACTAATGTAAGATATTAATAATGGGGAAACTGGGTACCAGGACATGTAAGAACTCGGTGCTATCTTCACAATTTTTCTGTGAATCTAAAAATATTCTTAAAAAGTTTATTTAAAAAATAGATTAGGACAAAATCCTGTATAACAATACATTTCAATCCATATAACACTAAAAACTATTTAACTTAAGGAAGGCAGATTGGTATGTTTCCCCATGCTAGAAAATAACTATATTCACAATATTTACTTTTAGAATTTTGGTTTAAATTTCTCATAAAGTAAAAACGTAAGTCATACTTTATACTAAAGGTGGGTTATATTAATTAGGAAATTAAAAGCACCATAATTTGCATAACCTCACCAAAATGTAAATTTTTTAACTACAGAACTATTTAATGGACAGATCCCAGGAAAATATTTTTTCTTGTAGCCTCAGTTTATAATTAAGTTGTGCCTATACTAAACAAACCCCCAAAATGTAAGAGTTAGACCTTAACAAAATATATAAACTAGAGAAACTGTCTTACCAAAATAATTTATTAGAAGTTCCCAAAAATATAATGGCTTCTGGTACTTTCAAATATATAAAATGATTTCTACTCAACCTTTTAGAAACTCATAAAACAAAGTATTATTATTATTACTACTATTATTTTTAAATCCTTACCCAAGGATATATTTATTGATTTTAGAGGCAAAGGGAGAAAGAGAAACATCGATCAGTTGTATATTGTATGTGCTCCGACCAGGGATGGAAACCAGAGCCCTACAACCTTTTTCGTGTATAGAATGATGCTCCAACCAACCAAGCAACCCAGCTAGGGGAAGCAAGATATTACTGCATTTTATTTTCATTAAGGAAGGATTGGGAAGTGAAATCTAATCTATGAGGCAGATCATTCTCAATTGAAACCCAACTCTTACTAATTTTTTTGCTTTTTAATATAGGCTAATGTGCTTAGGTTTCATGGTGAAGGGGGGGTGAAATTATCACTATAAGTGTAATTGAACAAAACTAAATTTGCCCAGTAGTCCAAAACAAATTGTTTTCATTCCAGATCTTCAGTATCTCTCTTCATCTTTAATCATCGGTAAGACTATCATGAATCAAAATGTTTCAAAACAAATAGCATATATCTGTAGGGGAAACAACTCATGATGTTAATTGTGGTTTTCTTACTGTTCTTTGGAAATTTGCTCTGAGAGCTTAGTTAAAATACGAAGTCGTTATTAGATTCAAAGTACTCAAAACAATAATGACAGCATACATATGAAATGAGGATACAAACTATTGAAAGTAGTTAAGTGGATTTACCAAATACCCACTTACCTTTAAGAAAACTAATACATCTCTTGTAAAAAAACTAGCTGAAACAAGAGGTTTTCTCTGAATTATAGCTGGGACAAAACTAACACCTCTATCCCAGGAGAAACTTCTAAAATCCCAAACACTAAGTAATGCCAGAAACCATGCTATACAAAGTATTGTCTCGATAATCTTTCAACTCAACTAAATCCTAAGGAACTTTCCTAAACACCCTTGAATTTCTGAATAGAAGCCTATTGTTAATGGGACATCTAGATGGGCCATATAGTTAAGGTATTTTTATGATACAAATGCTATATTTGAGATCCAGACTCACTCTTCAGAGGAATAAAAAAAGGGGTGGGGGAATGACAACAAATAGGTAAATTGAGACAATAAAAAATTTGTCCTCAAAAACAAATGTATTTTTCTGCCCTGGCTGGTATGGTTCAGGGGATTGAGGGCCAGCCTGAGAACCAAGGGGTTGCTGGTTTGATTCCCAGTCAGGACACATGCCTGGGTTTGGGGCCAGGCTTCCTGGTAGGGGGCTCAGGAGAGGCAGCCACACATTGATGTTTCTCTCCCTCCCTTCTTTCCTCTAAAAATAAATGGATAAAATCTTTTTTTTTAATGTATTTTTCCCCTGAATTAAGTGAGGTTCCACCCATCTAAAATGAAACTGCTACTATTAATCACTACTAATTTGGAAAATGCAATGACCTTGCATTTCTGCCAAAGCATTTTGTCTTTTCAATTTTGACTGGACTCCGGGTGGGTGTCAGGAGGTGGGTATAAGGGCACTAAATGATAATGTAAAAAAATACAATAAAAAACTCATTAAAAAGTAAAAATATAAAAATGTTGACTCTCTCCCAAATAAAAAACACATAGAATATCATAGAAAGGACCTGTATGTTCCTCTACTCTTACACTAAGAAATTTTTGTACTTAACTGTTTGGAATTCCAATGAATGAGGAAAAATACGTAATACACAACACAAACATATGATGGTCTTTACCAATCAACTAAAAATGTGCACACAACTCTAGGATTATTATATAGTGCTTATATTTGTGCCCTATACCATTTAGTGTGTCTCTTCTTTCTTGATTTTTTTTTTTACCATTCCTACTCTAGTTCCAATTAAGTGAATAGAAGACAGAACTTGAGATATAAATTCAAAAGGAATCACTGCAAAGCCATAGTTCTTACTGAAACTTGTTTTAGTGTTTTAACCTAAACGTACTTCTATATTCCCAAACTCCACAACAATATAAATTCTCAGAATAGCCTTACTAAACTACTCCCTCAAGAAAACAAATATTCTGAGAATACTTCTTAGGGTTCCTTAAAAAACTAAACAACTTTACAAATAGTACACTCTTAAGACATCCATTTCCCTGTACATAAATTTTATTTCTCATTAGTAATGAACTCTAGCTAATAGTATTCCTGTTAAAACATTTATAGAGAAGTACACTGATGTCAGCAACTTACTTTGAGATAAATCAAAAGATGGATTGACAGAAACATAGACACTCGTAGACATAAAACATATAGCAAACATTAATTGCAGAATGCAAGTGGTACAAAGCTCTGGCCAAGTAGCTCAGCTGGTTAGAGCATCATCCTGATACACCAAGGTGTGGGTTAGATTCCAGGTCAGTACACATACAAGAATTAACCAATGAATGCATCAAGTGGAACAACAAAATTAATGTTTCTTTCTATATCTAAAAAAATCAATTAAAAATTTTTTAACCAATACAGATGGTACATTTATGGGTCCTCACTACAATTCTTTTAACTTTTCTGTGTTTGAAAAATTATAATAAAATGGAGGAAAAAAGACTAAGGAACTTCAGCCCCTGACAGCTAGAAACTCTGCAGCTTGATCTGTTCAAACTAGTTTATGAATAATTATATAACTTTAAGTCAGCAAAAAATTACTCATATTGGCATATAAAAGATATGCACAGGTTTTTTTCAGATTAGAATAATTTCTCTATTGGTATTCAACAACAACATTTTCCTTTCTCATAGAATTTACTGACTGGCTCCAGGTACCTGGCACTGTGCTATGAACTCCATATTTACTAATTTAATACTCACAACAACTCTAAAAGTTGGTGGTTATTATTCCCATTTTACACATGAAAAAACTCAGACATGGAGAAATTAAAGTATTTGCCAAAGGACACAAAGGAAGATTAGGATTCCACTCAGGTATAACTCCTACGCCCATATTCTTTTGTGGGCAAAAGTGAGTCCATAAAGGAGGTACATCTCATCATCTACAAACAAGAACACAGTTTCCTGTTCATTCTAACAATTAAATTTCAAACTAACATGGCTTTCTTGGAAAAATAACACAGTAAGGGCACTATAAACATTTTTTAGAGAAAGCCTTTGAAAATTGCCACTGGTCAGAGTAGGTCAATGGTAATGCTGTAAAGAAAATCAAATTATCATTGGAGCCAATTTTCGCTAGGCTCTACCATCAAAAGGAAAAAGGACTAATCAGCTGAATTTCAACTAGAAATATCTGTGAAAAGACAGGAGTCTTTTGTAAGCTATCAAGTTATTGTCAATTAGGAAATAAACAAGTTTGAAGACTCAGCAAACAGAACAAATGGTAGATGAGCTAAGCAAACAGCCTCAAGATAATTCAAATTTGTCTTTAATCAGGTCCAATTAAGTCTAAAGTACTAATACCAATGTCATTTAAAATTTTAAAACAAAGCAACAGAAATAGCTAGATAAGATTTGGAAACCAGTATCAACTCCATGCATTTAACAGAAGCCTATGGTTTTTCTTACACAGGAGCTTGCAGCTGAAGATCCTGCCTCTGGAAGCACCTACCTTTAGCAGTCTTAGGCATGTAACTTTCTCCACTTCTCAAATTCTGGGTTCAGAAGAGGCCAGATTTACTCACTTGAATGACTGGCCAACAGTAAAGTGTTCTTAGCCAATAAACAAGGAAAATTTCAACAAAGCATTGCTAATTGCCAGTTCGTTATAACCCACCCTAAGAAAGGACTGTTAGGCAAATTGCTCACCTGGGGAGTGGACTCCGACTCAGAGAACGTTTGCTGGTGAAAGGGCTACTGGACCTCCTTCGACCATAGGGACTGGGTGACCTCCCACTGTAAGAGCCACTCCTTTCATAACTGGACGACCGTCTCCGGCTGTAGGGACTCACAGACCTCTGCCGTCTACTGTAGGGACTGGGTGACCGGGTGCTGGACTGGTAGGCCGAAGGCTCCTTGTAAGGTGGGCTAATAGACTGCCTTCTTGAGGTACTTCCAGGACTTTTCTTGTACGAGTCATAATTGCTGGAGGTGTGAGATCTTGGGGGACTAAGGTCATAATCTTGGCCATACGAAGCTCCTGAAGGGCTATCATCTTGCTTGGGGCTGTCAGACCATTTCCTGTGGGGACTCCTGGATCTCCGTTTGGGGCTGTCCACTGTTTTGTAACTTTTGGGTGTTTCCCTTTTCCGATGACTTTTACTCCGGTCTTTGTGCCCAGCCTTCAACTCACGTTCTTTCCGGGCCTTCTCCTTGTGCAGTTTGGATGACCTGGATTCCTTGTTGCTGCTGCTTTTGGAAATCTGTGCCTTCCCATAGTCATCATTTTCCTCATTTGAACGCTTTGAACTTCCTGATATCCGGTCCTTCATCGATCCCGACTTGCTGGAAACTTCCTGGTTTTTTTCTTTTTCTGTCTGTTTACTTTTTAGTAAATCCCGGGAACGTCTGTGCTGGTGGTGACGATGTTTGTGCAAGCGGTCACTTCGATCAGTCCCACGACGTTCATCATTCTCCCGCCTGTCTGTTTTCAAGACTATGTCGTCAGAGAAGGTGTCTGAATCAGAGCTGATGTCATCATACTCCACCAAAGGTTTGATCATTGTACCCAAAGGTGCTGCTTCGGGGGTCACCAACCCCATGTCTTTGGAGTGCTTGGACTTGTGCCGCTTGTGCTTCGACACCAAGCGGTGACGCTCTCTGCTGTTGGAGCTGCCACCTCCCGACGACGGCTGCAAAGTTCCAGAAGCTCCTCCACTCCCGTCCTTCTTGCCCCCATGTCTCTCTGGATTGGGCATCCCCTTTCCCCTGGCCTCAAAAGGGGGGAAAAGTTCCCCAGCACTCCAAAAAGTAACCCCCACCCTCCCCCCAACCCCAATCCCACGCCTACCAAAGCGCTCGTAGAAGGGGGTTGGGAGGGAAGAGACCGCGGCGCAGGCTCCTCCTCCCTCCCGACTCCTCGGCACCCTCCTACATGAGGGTGAAGGAGCCAGGGAAGAAACGAGAGTTCCTCAGCAGTGGAGTTGCGAGACAACCGGCAGCCGCTCCAGTCCGTTTGCCCTCCTCCCCACGCAGAGCCAGTCCTCAGTCCCGGGGGCCGGGGAGGTCGAGGAAGTAGGAAGCCGACGGCCCGGGGCTGTAGGGCCGACTTCAGCTCTAAAGCCCTGTGAGGACTACGCGGGCCTTCCCCCTACCCGGTAGCCCGGCTCGGGTGGCTTCCTGTCGCTCGGGTTCCGCGGCCTAGGGGCCTCACACCCCCTTTGTCCCTCGTTCCTGAGGGAGCTCCTTTTCCTGCCTCCTCCTCACCTCAACACCTCACACACTCACTCGCTCCCTCACAGACTCAGTCACACACTAGGTTAAACCGAAACGGCACTTGGAGGAGGGGGAGGGGCAATCCCAAGAAATATCGCGAGAATACTAAGCTCGCGGTATTTCGTGCTTCCCTTTCACCTCTCCCTACCGCTTGATCCAAAGGACGCGAGAGCAAGTAACGAGGACCAAACGCGATCCTCCGTATTCTCGCGATAAGCCCCTCGCTTCTCATTTGATCAAAGCTTTCTGGGATACGGAGTTGGGAGAGTTTTTTTTTATTCAAAACTTTATTGATAACTCTTTGAACAAATAGTCGGCAGACCAGCGCAAACTAATTTTTTCATACCTTTTAACTACCAGGAATGTTAGATAGGACAAAGGTCTCAAGGTCTGGGTGGTTCTTACTAAATGTTACTCTTGCTGTTAAAATGTAGCATGGTATTTTGCAAATCATCTGAGAAACTGGGTGAGCCCTGATCGGCGTGACTCAATTTCTTGGGCGTGGTCTGCAACCCGAAAGGTCCTTGGTTCGATTCTGGTGAGGGCACGTGACTGGGTCCTGGGTTGGTCAGGTAGGGGTGAATGCGAGAGGCAACCGATCCCTGTTCCACTTTTGCACCCATGTTTCTCTCCCTCTCTCCCTCCCTTTCCCTCTCTCTAAAAATAAATAAATATAATTTAAAACAAACAACCAACAGGATGAGCTTGACAGGACCCCAACCAGCCAGCTGCAAAGAAATCAACAGTGTAATTGACCTAAAAGTGTATATAAGCAATGGCTAAGCCTCCCTTGGGGGCTGGGATACGTATCCCCTGTCTCCTCGTTTTACTTGTTGCAAATAAATAAAACTACCTTGGGGCCTCTCATCTCTGAATGGAGCACTTCAAGCCGCAGGACCCTTGAGTTCGGCCAAGAGGATGAAAATAAAGTCTACAGGACACAGGGCAAATGTGGAGACGTTTCTTCTCAAGTCCCTAAATACTAACAACGCTTACACCTACATAGCGTAAAATACGTGCGTTATCTCTAATTTTCATACTACCCTGCAAAACAAGATAGTCTTATTCCTATTTTACAGATAAGGAAACCTAGACTCAGAGAAGTTAAATAACTTACTCAAGTTAATAAAGTTAGTACAGCAAGTGCTAAATATAAGGTTCACATTCATGTCTGACACTAACGCACGAGCTCTTTCATTGTGGGGCACTCTTTCCAATTGGCTTAAAATCTAAGAACCTGAAAGATCATCACCTCTTGGGATCATCTGTGGCTCTCCTGGAATTATTGAGCCTTTTATCTTCACACAGGAGATTATAACTTTGAACAAGAAAAGTATACTATTTATGCACAAGAAAAATAGCATCTTACACTGCCTCTTATTTTTTTACTTTTTCAAACTCCTTTGCACACATTAACTCATTCCATCTTTACAGCAACTCTCTGAAATAGGGTTGTGTATGATAGGAAACTAAGACACAGAAAAATTGTGACTTTTCCAAGCTTATTCATTCTTTTTTCAACAAATTTACCTGTGAGATTTTGAGGCCTTTCTCTGTGTAACAGTGTCCACTAAGGGCCCTTAAAGAAGATGTAGACGATATATTCATACCAAAGATACATCATGAGAATGATACAGAGCACTGCCTGGGTTCAAAAGGAGGTTGGGAGTATTACGAGAAAACTTTATAAGGGGCAGTTGAGTTGGGCCAAGAAGAATAGGTAGGATGTGTATAGACCAGAAAATTAGGAGACAGAAAACATTCTAAATTAAGAGAAAATAATTCACTCTCAAAAATCACTCCCTGAAAATGGTCTTTTTGCTTTTGGTTACATGGTTACTAAAAGAAAGTTTTTACTTTAAATGTTTGAGTCCATAAATCTTGATTACAAATGGACAAAACCAAACTTTTCATGACAACTTTTTAAAAAAATATTTTATTTATTTATTTTTAGAGAGAGGGAAAGGGATGGAGAAAAAGAGGGAGAGAAACATCAATGTGTGGTTGCCTCTTGTGCGCCCCCCTACTGGGGATCTGGCCCACAACCTAGACATGCCCTGATTGGGAATTGAACTGGTGACCCTTATGGTTCATAGGCTGGCGCTCAATCCACTGAGCCACACCAGCCAGGGCTCATGACAACTTTTTAATCATCTGTGGAAATAGTCAAACTAATGCTACCAAGAAAAAAGAAAGAGAAAAACCAGGATAGAATTAAGTACTGGAACTCAGGTGTGGTAAATTTCCATAATTACTGCACGAGGGCCTGGATGTAAAGGCCTCCGCCAGTGTCTTACATGATGGGCAGATGGCTTCAGATTTAATGGGCCAATTAGATGAAGTGACTGGCCTATCTTATTAAACACTGGCATGAGCTCAGCAAAATTACTCTGATTTGTTTTCTTGTAAGATCAAGTTTATGACCCAGATACACCAACGCCCACAGTAAGATGGAAAAGTGGAGATGGCAAAAAGAATTATGGCAATGTGTCTAATAAAATCTTGAAAAATAAAATTTGTCATCAAAATTAACCAGCATTAATTGTACTTATAATTATTGATTATCTGTTTGTTACCTATTGAAACAGACTACAGACCCCTAATAAATGAATGAATAAATGAGGCTTTTTACTGAATCAGTATATGTTATATATATATATATTTTAAAGATTTTATTTATTTATTTATTTTTAGAGAGGGAAGGGAGGGAGATAGAGAAAGAAGGAGAAAAACATCAATGTGCGGTTGCTGGGGGTTATGGCCTGCAACCCCAGCATGTACCCTGGCTGGGAATCAAACCTGGGACACTTTGGTTCCCAGCCCACGCTCAATCCACTGAGCTACGCCAGCCAGGGCTAATATGTGTTATATTTTTATATCACCTTTCAATTTTCTGCAGAATTCTTTTAAGCCTGTCAATAAATATCAGCTGAAACAATAAACAACCTGGTGCAGTGGCCATGAAAGGTAGTATTATATTCATTTACTAAAGGATAAAACTGACACTTAGAGGGAATTGGAGCATCTTTACACTAAGTGTAGTTAGTTCCAGGGACAGGGACAGCTCTTTCTTTAATCCTAGGCCAGCACTCTTTCGATTACACTGTCTGGTTTTGGTGGAAAAAAATTCTAGTATAGGAAATCTCAGATTGTGTCCAACTTTTAAAACACAAAATCTACTCTCACCTGCATGCTTTGACCCCAAAACTGGGGAGAATAGTGTTTTTGTAAAATAAGGACTGCTTCACTCTACTGAAAAACAAAGAAATTCCAAGACTGCATGATTTAGTTTATTTGCATGACCTCCCAGGGCAGGGAGTCAGGGCAAATCAATGAACCCCAAGATCGGACAAGTGATAATTATACTTTCCCTCTAAATTCTCAAAGCAGCTCAGAAAGTTTCTGTTTAAGCTGTATACAAAGAAACTATTTAACTAAAGTTACAATAATTTATTATCCCTCACTTATAATATGCCTATTTCCCCTTCTTTTTAAAATATTTTATTTATTTATAGAGAGGAGAAAGAAAGGGAGAGAAACATCAATGTGTGGTTGCTTCTTGCACACCCCCTACTGGGGACCTAGCCCACAACCCAGGCATGTGCCCTGACTGGGAATCGAATTGACAACCCTTTGGTTCACAGGCCAGCACTCAATCCACTGAGCCACACCAGCCAGGGCCATTGTCCCCTTCTTGCCATATGAAAAGACTGTTCCTATCTGCATATTAAATGCTTTTCTGGTTTAATGACATGTCTTAACTATCTTCTTGAGTACAAATTTTTGACAATGTTATTTCATTTGCATTTTTAGATGAGATATTATAACTTATTCTACTCTGTGACCAAAATTTGGCAAAGTTTACTGTATTTTTAAGCTTTATAAAGTTTAAAATTTTCTACCTATAATTAGTACAGACATTATTGTTTATCTGTACAGAGAACTTCCATGAGGAATCGTAGCTGTGTATCTAACATTGATACTTTAGGTGTAATAGTAAAGTAAACATTTTTTGAGTACTTAGGATTATTGTGACCAATTATATTTGGAAAAGTCTAAATCAAATGAACCTAGTCCTGGCCGGGTAGCTCAGTTGGTTGGAGTGTTGTCTCTATACACCAATGTTGCAGGTTCTCTTCCTGGTCAGGGTACATATGAGAATCAACCAATGAATACATAAATAAGTGGAACAGCAAATCAATGTTTCTCTCTCTCTCAAGGCAATAAACAAAAAACTACAAAAAAATAAATCAGATGAGCCTATCAAACACTGAGTCTGTGTTTTCATGTTTATATTATCAGTTTCTAATACAGAAGTATTAGGTCTCCATAGATGCTTGTTGAATGACAAGCACTTTGACAACAGGAAGGGAACATAAAATATGAATTGTTGGCAGTCTCCCTCCTGGGAGCATGCCCATGCCTTTCTTCCCTCTCAGGTGTTCATTTCCTGAACTCTTAGGGTCTTCACATGACTTGCAACAAGGGAAGCAATGGGCAGCAGCAGCCCCACCTGGGCTAATCCCTAGAACCTGTCTCCAAGGCTCCTTTTCTCTGACTTCCAGTGGGCCAAAGCAGTCCCACCTAGGCTCTCTCCTGCTGCTTCTTCTATCCTAAGCCCTTCCTTGTTGCACTGTCCCCAGCTTTAATAAACACACTCTCAAAATAAAAAAAAATATGAATTATCTTTGAAAGTTCTCATTTGGATACATTCTCTATACTTCATAAATTTTAAGATTGCTAGATTCATATTATATAATATTCAGAACATACTTATACTTTATACTAAAAAATATTTGTTGACTGAGTGTTCTGTATTTTATCTGGCAACCCTATCAAATTATCCCAACAATATGCACTGAGTCTCTGACATGAGAGCCAGGGGCTGGGCTAGGCAATGTCACTACACAGTAATGAAAGAAAGACCCAGGACACCTGCCTAGAGTTGATAGTCTAGCAGGGAAGACAGGCACTGAACAAATCATCATGGACTTAGCTAATTTTAATATTAAAAGTGTTATCAGATAGACAATAATGTACCCTGGCTGGTTTGGCTTAGTGGATTGAGTGCCGGCCTGTGAACCAAAAGGTTGCAGGTTCGATTCCCAGTCAGGGCACAGGCCTGGGTTGCAGGTCAGGTTCCCAGTTGGACGTATCTCTTGCACATCATTGATGTATCTCTTGCACCTCAATGTTTCTCTCCCTCTCTTTCTCCACCCCTTCCCCTTTCTCTAAAAATAAATAAGTAAAATCTTTAAAAAAAGAGATAATAACAGAAGCTCTGATCAAGTCAGAGGTTAGAGAAGGCTTGCTTCTTTTCTTTAGTCCACAGGATGTTGAAATCAGAATGAGAGGGCCTTAGCGAAGTAAAGGGAGTGGGTAGAGAAAAGCCTCCTACAAGTTAAAATAGCCTTTTCAAGGAACATGGGGGAGAAAGGAGTATAGGAATTTTCTACACAGAAGAGAAAGCCAGTGTGGCTCGGCACTGGCAAGGGGAAAAGAGCTGGATCTAGAAGGCTTGGTAGGCCCAGTAAGAGACTTGACTACTAGACCCAGGTACAGTGCTAGATAGTGGGGATTCAAAAATGAGGGGCAATTCCCGCTCCAAAAAACTCACTTTGTGACTCAAAAGAATGAATATAAGAGGAATAGAGAAGAAATAAAGTTTGAAATTTACTTTCAAGGAGCATGGCTAAAGATAACTTTGCAGCCATAAACATGTTTCCAGACATTTCCAAAGACTTGTTCTTGATAAATTTATGCTGTTATGCCTGCTCACCTGAACTGTATTTACTGAAGCCTTGTGAACTGCATTTTGGAAGTGTGGGGAAAGTCTGAGACATTAGAACCAGCAGAAATTCATTGCTTAAGATCCTTACTACAAAACAGGTAAAATCAAACTTTTCACCATTTATTTTCAAGAATGTGTTTGGATGGAAAAAGAACGTTAAAAATAAGTAGCTTTAATTATGTTAAGAAGTTTCACCCAGATGCAGCTCAATGGATTGAGCATGGGCTGCGAACCAAAGGGTCATGGGTTCCATTCCCAGTCACGGCTCATGCCTGGGTTACAGGCCAGATCCCTAGTAGGGGGCACACGAGTACAACCACACACTGATGTTTCTCTCCCTCTTTCTCCCCCACTTCCCCTCTGTCTAAAAAGAAATAAATAAAATCTTAAAAGCAAACAAACAAACAAACAAAAAAAAACCTTGTGGAAAAAAAAAAGAAGTTTCACCCAATGCTAGGTAGCACTATTGTACTTTTGCCTGGTTCTCAAGCAGTTCCGTTAGTTGTGAGCTAACATCTTGGTATTACTCCAAATTTCACTTTGTGAGGATTTACTGATACAAGAGATATCGCTACATATTCCTTGCGACTACAAGCTAAACTGCTTATTTTCACTATGATTACAAAAAGGGACACAACCAGTTGAACACCTTTGGGACCCTTTTAGTCCAAAACTTTCCAGATTTCCAAAAATATTGTAATTGCTCAAGAAATATTTCTTTAAAAAAAGAAAATGGAAATTAAGTTTTCTGGTTTGGCTTTTAACATCGTGTTTCAAAGAACCAATATCTTTATTGCATAATTATTCCATCTAGTATCTCAAGAAAGCATATTATATTTAATAAGATATTGCTGATACCAATATTTTTCAAAAACCTAGTGTTTCAGGAAAGAGAGCCAGGGATTTTATTTTTTTAAATTTAATCTTTACTGTATTATTTTCTCCATTATCATTGAGTCCCCTTATACCCCCTCCCCTAGCAATCATCACACTTGTCCAAGTCCATGAGCCCTTTTTCCTCAATACCTCCACTCCCTAACCCCACCACCACTTCCACGCCCCCTTCCACCTAGCTGTCATGACAGATGATAGCTGTCACTTATCTAGCAGTCTGTCCCTATTTTCCTTGTTAGCTCTGTTTGTTCATTAGATTCCACATAGAAGTAAAATCATATGCTATTTCTCTTTCTCTGACTGACTTATCTCACTTAGCATAATATTCTCCAGGTGCCTGGTGTGGCTCAGTGGATTGAATGCTGGCCTGCAAACCATAGAGTTCTCCAGGTCCACCCACACGAAATATCTGTCTCAAGAACAACAGACCGCTGTCACCTGCTAACCACAATACCTACTCCCTGTAAGTCTGAGACTAGCGAAACCTAAGGAGGGGCTGGGTTGGTAAAATCTCGCGAGAAGAATAGCAGTAACCCTTTCTCGCGATAGTTTGGCACACCTCGCTTTCCCTCTCTCGGAGGATCGATGTTAATCTCGCGATCTTTGGGAAGTTCCGTTGGGGAAGATGGCGGCGGCCGGGAGCACCCTTCTCTTTTTGCCGCCAGGGACTTCAGACTGAACCTTCCTGGGAAGAGTGGGGAGTACTGGTGCCCTGCGTCCTGGAAGCCCGAACTAACTTGATTCCCCCGTTAGTGGTGGGGGACGGCTTATCCTCTTGTGTAGGACTCAGGCCTTCCCCACTGTCAGTATGAAGGCTCAGGGGGAAACCGAGGGTGAGTAACTGAAGGGAAAAGCAGGGGGGCGCGACACAGCTCGGGGGAGCCAATCTGTGAGAGGAGCTGGGGTCGGATCCGTTCTCCAAGGCCACTTTCCCGGAGACGTAGAGTCCAGGAGGCGGGGTTTGTGTGAGTTTTAGATTTTGATTGCCTTCCCTGGTGGTGGAGATCTCCGACTTTGGGGTGATGGGGGCTCCCAACTTCCGTGAAGGTTTCCTGCTTAGATAGGGGCAGTTATTGGTCCTCAGGGCATTTAATCCTAAAATTATGGAAGACCAGGCGAGTGAATATAAAATCATTCTTACACATCGTTATAGAGGAGACGTCTGAATGACATAAGAACAATAATACAGAGCTGTTCATCCAAGTACTGGAGGGGGTTTTTGCGTGAGTGAAATGATTAGGTCCTTATGGTATTAAAATCCAGCGGTTCCCTAGAACGTCACCGTGTTCAGATCTTGTACTATTGTATATTTAAAAAAATGCGTTCGGTTTTCAGCTTTTCAGTGGCTGGACTAACTTAGAACTGAAAACAACTTTTCTGTGGAACCTTACTTTGATTCTGTCAAGTTCTACACTGCAGTTTAAATGCTTCCACAGTATTTTGGACATAGTTCTGTTACTAATACAGCTCACTGTATTACTTTTTTCTTTTCTACTTTATTCTGAACTTTGTAGATCAGGGACCTTGCCTTACTCATCATTGTATATTCCGTGGGATATGAATAGTTGCTCAAAAAATGTTTGATTTGAGCATTCATATAAAGATACTTGTCATCAGCCTTCTCAAGGAAAAGAGGAGGGATATGTTTTGAAGTGGAGAAAGAAGAAAGATTTGCTCTTTGGGTGCTGAGGAATGACAGATGTAAAACGAGGCAGGAATTTTGTGTAGTTTGCTCACTGCCAAATCCTCCTGAATGTAAACTAGTGCTTGACTGAATGAGTCTTGAAAATGGGAATTCCCAGAAATGTGTCCAGAACTGTAAACTGGCCGAAATAGAACCATTTATCCAGAAGATGAGGGCATTGGAGGAAGGAGTTTGGATCTGGGTTTAGAAGATGTCGCTGCCTCAAGTCTGATTGCCGATGTTCTATTTATTTTTTCAGTAACACCTTTTCTGTAGCGTTCCTGCAACTAATTAACTTTTCCCCTTTTAAATTTCAGTAACGTGTGTCTTTTTTGGTTTGTTTTCAATAAAATAAAGTTTATTTAGAAAGTTACAGAGGTAGTAGAAGTCAGCCAGCTGGACTTCCTAGGCTCAGGAAACAAGTTACAGAAGCAAAAGAAGGGCCCTGGGAGCTTAGGAGAGAGAAAAGCAAAAGTAACACACCTGAGGGGAAGAAGAAGGGGAAGGGAAGTCTCCCCAGAGGAAGAGCATGCTGTATCTTTGTTTTGAAGAGCATATATCATTTTGCTTTGTGTGATGGTTATTTCAGTGTTAACTTACCCACATCCTTTCACAGAGGTCATCCTGTGATTTTGCGTTACGCATTGTGTTTTTGCGTTGCCAGTGGTCTCTAGCACAGGTCCTTGCTGATACTAAGCAGTACAGGAGTTAGAGGGGGTTTAAGGGTGGAGGAGGTTCGTTTACACACTTAGTTCTGGAGCCAGTCTTGTCTACCTTTCTCTTACTGTTGCTGGAAACTCATCCTTTAGATATTGACATCTTCTCTGTCTATATAGTTTTAGTTTGGATTCAAATAGGAGAAATCTGAATGACAAAGCCTGTTTTCTTGATGATACCTATAAATTGATCTCTTAAAATTATGAAAAAAGATTAAGAAGGTCTATATTTTCACATTGAAAATCAACTAACCTTACTAGGCCATGTTCAAGTGTACACTCTACATATATTGTCAAGGGGTTTCGTGTGTGTGTGTGTGTGTGTGTGTGTGTGTGTGTATGAAATGGTCTTATAACTAAATTATAATCCTGATCCTGAAACATGATCAGAGGTGGTTCTTTTTTGGTTCTCATTAAAAAGTCAAATAGAAAGTACTCCAATTCTGTGGTGTTTATTAGATTAGACCCATAACTTGTGTGTCTTCCTGTCATTAAAAATAAATTCTTTATATGTTTTGAAGTGAATAAGATTGAAAAATATTTTAACTGGGTTCTTGATGTATGGGGGGTTTTGTTTAGAAGAAAAACTATAAGGTCTTAAGAGAAGAGTTTCTAACAATGTCTTCTGATTTATATCGTAGAGTCGGAAAAGCTGAGTAAGATGAGTTCTCTGTTGGAACGCCTCCATGCAAAATTTAACCAAAATAGACCTTGGAGTGAAACCATTAAGCTTGTGCGTCAAGTCATGGTGAGGATTGTGGTGTGTGCTTGGATAATTATTTAATAAGCAAAGCTCCCTGTGTCGAAGTTTTCAAACTAGCTATTATACTGTGTCTTTGTTTTTGTTTTTTTTTTAAGATTTTATTTATTTATTTTTAAAGAGAGGGGAAGGAAGGGAGAAAGAGAGGGAGAGAAACATCGGCGGATGTGCGAGAGATACATCCATCTCACAGGCCCCCAGCTGGGAACCTGGTCTGCAACCCAGGCATGTGCCCTGACCCCTCAATGGGAATTGAACCCCAGTGACCTTTCGGTTCATAGGCTGGTGCTCAATCCATTGAGCCACATCAGCCAGGGTTGTCTTTAGTGTTATTTATCATAGAGTTGATAGCTACCATTTACTCAGGCATTTTAAGAGTGTACCTAAAAAGGAGGTAGGTTAATAAAATTGTGTTAATCATGAGTTATAGTACTGGGGTACTTTAGGCAAAGGTGCTAAGAAAAATGCCAATAAGAGACACACATGATAGACTGGAATAGAGACATTTATTCTTCACTTTCTGTCAAACTCTTTGATACTAATGTGATAGTAGTACTTTCATTGTACCTATACTAGGAGTTGAGTTTGCAGTTCATTCTTTTTTTTGTTTTTAAGATTTTATTTATTTATTTTTAGAGAGAGAGGAAGGTAGGGAGATAGAGAGGTAGAAAAACATGATTGGATGCCTCTCACACACCTGCAATTGGGGACTAGCTTCCCCTGACAGGGTATCAAACTGGCACTGAGCCACGTCAGCCAGGGCTGCAATTAATTCTTAATTTACTTCTTTACTCCATCAACCTTTTTATCTGTAGTACTACTACTCCTTCCTGAGTCATTCACCCATATGTCAAACCCTTAGTTAAGTGGAAGACAGGGAGGGTAGGGGACTGGATGTTAAAACTTCATCCATGTGATTCCAGTGGTGGTCAAGTGATATAGGAAAACTTCTGTGCTTTCATACTGTTGTTTCCAGTTCACCTGAGCAATGGTTAAATGGGTGTGTTAACTTTGTGATAATTAATGGATCTCTTTGGACTCTTGTATCTTTCTGTATATATGTTTTACTTCAGTGAAAGTACCCTCTCCTCCCCCCAAATCTTACCTGGGTCCAGAGTAAGCTCAGTTTAGTAGATTTATTAGTGTTTAAAATAATCATATCAGGATAACACTATCAGAAGAACTGATGTTGCTGTCAAAAGACCTGTATTTGTGGCTGCTTAGCTCAGTTGGCTAGAGCGTCATCTCAATGCACCAAGGTTGTGGGTTTCATCCCTGGGCAGGACATACACAAGAAGCAACCAGTGAATGCATAAATAAGGGGAACAACAAACTAATGTTTCTCTCTCTCTATCCCTCCCCCCGTCCCCGCTTTCCCCTTTTTCTCTAAAATTAATCAAAATTAAAAAAGCAAAACAAAACTCTGTATTTTAAGCTTGACACCAGCGCTTGCTACTTATATGACTTTGGGCAAATTATTTAATATCTCTGAGTTTCAGTTTTCTCATTTGGAAAGTAGAGGCACACAATACCAGTTTGCTTTTCCACATACATTAAATGCTTCATTAATGTTAATTGGTCCTTGGAAACTGCAACTTTAAGCGAAATGACATATAGCAAAACAATATTACAGAAGGCTAATTGATGTGCATAAGAGTTAAGTTCCTAGGGCATAGTTCTGGTCACAAAACCATCACCAAACTTCTAAATAAAGACACAAAACACTTCTAATATTAAACATTGAAATAAATGTGAGCCATACATACATTTAAGAAATAGTAATAAAAACAAGAAAATTATTTTCCAACCTGCTTATTCTAGTTCAGGGTCTTGGATGGCCAGAGCCTATCTTCGAAGCTCAGGGTGCAAAGTAGGAACCCACTGTGGACAGCATGCCATCCATTCCATTGTGGGTATACTCACACACACAGTCATACTCACCCAGAATGGGACAGTTTAGATGGGCGGTTAATCTAATGTGCATGTCTTTGGGACATCGAAGAAAACTGGGGTACCCAGAAAAAACCCACATGAACATGGGTAGAATGTGTAAACTCCACACAGGCAGTGGCCTCAGCCAGGAGTCAACTTCTGTTTTCTCATCAACGTTATGAGACGAAGTTATTCAAGGGCCTGCTGTAGTTCTGTGGTAAGAATCAAATCAGATAATAGATATTAAAGTGTTGCATTGCTAAAATATTTCTGTAACGGTAAATTCTACAAATGTATGTACATTTTGTGGCTCAGGGTTATGCACATAAAAGGTATTAAAATGTTTTATTTTTTAAAAAAGATTTTATTATTTATTTTTAGACAGATGGGAAGGGAGGGAGAAAGAAAGGGAGAGAAACACCAATGTGTGGTTGCCTCTCATGTGCCTCTTACTGGGGTCCTGGCCCACAACCCAGGCACGTGTCCTGACTGGGAATTCAACCGGCGACCCTTTGGTTCACAGGTTGGCACTCAATCCACTGAGCTACACCAGCCAGGGCAAAAAAAAAATGTTTTAAATAAAAGAAGGGCAATTTTTACAGTCTGGGAATTCAGAGGTCATTTTTATACTATAGGGCAACCATATTCTAGCTTGAAATGTGTTCTGTATAATTGATATTGTCATTAGAGAGACATCATGACAGGAATTTTAGGTGGCTACTAAGAACTGTTTTTTGGGGTACCAGTGCCTTGGTTTGGTCACCAAAACTCCCATTGTCTACTTTTTACTTTTGCTGATTCAAAATGTAACTTTATTGGTATGTCAGTACTTCGAATTGTTTTCAACAACTGACATTAACATATCTCAGTAGATTAACATATAAGTCAGAATAGCAATTTATTTAAAACAGAGGGTCTTTTCAGTTACCAAAATACTGGTAATTCATTGTCCAGAGCAGCCCCTTGTCTATTCAGGGTACAAAGGAAGCCAGATTATTAATTAATCAGATGTTTGTTTTGTAAGGTTGGAATTAGAGCAAAGGGAGATGGATTTAGAGCATGGAAAAACCTGAAAAACTATCCTTGTATCATAAAACTGTTCACATTTCTGGGGATTGGCATGTTGTGCAGAGAAAAGCTCTTCCCTGGCTAGGGTCAGAAAAACTATGCCGTTATTTTTTCGCTCTTTACGAATCCCTTTTCTGGACTACATAATCTGTTTCTGAGAGTCAGTCTGCTGTGACTATGGTGAAATCATATTTCTTAGATTACATACAAATCATCTGATTAGATTTGGGGATTGCCAAATTTTGTGAGCTACCCCATTTAACTGAGTAAATCTTATCGTGTAGTTACTTCTAAAGGAGGCTAATCTCATTTGTTACATTTTGATTCTTCCTAATTCCCCTCCCCCTGAAGGTTATCTTATTTTTTTTTTAAAGATTTTATTTATTTATTTTTAGAGGAGAAGGGAAGGAGAAAGACAGGGAAAGAAACATCAACGTGTGGTTGTCTCTCATGCACCCCACACTGGGGACCTGGCCCGCAACCCAGGTGTGTGCCCCGCCTGGGAATCGAATCTGGGAATCAAATCAGCAGCCCTTTGGTTCGAAGGCCAGCGCTCAGTCCCCTGAGCCACACCAGCCAGGACAGTTGTGGGAATGAATACTTTTCCTACCTTCATCAATATGGATATGGATGTATCCATGTACTGCATGAACTTTCCTCCTTTGGTTGTATGGACAGAGTAACAGTAAAAAGTATATTTAAAAAAAGTTTATAGACTGATCAAAAGTATTAACATACTATAGGATATAGTCTATAGACTATCCTGAAGTATTGGTACTAGGATAATATATGTGTTTATGTGAAACACTGTTGGCTTGATTAACTTTTTACCTCAAATTTTTTCCCACTTAATACAGGAGAAGAGGGTTGTGATGAGTTCTGGGGGGCATCAACATTTGGTCAGCTGTTTGGAGACATTGCAGAAAGCTCTCAAAGGTTTGTAATCATCTTTGAAATATGCTGATTTCTTAAAACATGCTATTTAAGAAAATTACACTTACACTAGATATATGGATTGAGATAGGTCAACTTTCTATGCTGGGCGTTGTTTTTACTTTTGTTATGAAACTGAGATGAGCTCTTGCCTGAACTTTTAAAACATTTTGATTTTTTATTTTGGAGGTTGATAGAGACTCCAAAGATAATTGTTGAAGTGTAACTATAGATAGCAGGGGAAATTCTTTTTTTTTTTTTTTTTCTTTACATGTTTTTTTCTAATTAATTCTTAATAAGAAGATGGACATTTTAATGTTAAAAGGTTTTTATTGTGTTTATAGACCGATGTTTTCAGGAAAGTAAATGTAAAATTTAAATCATGAGCTTGATTGTTCATACTTATAATTAGCTCTTCTATTTTTTGGGAGAAAGAAAGTGAAAAAAGATTTTACTCTGATGCATCGCAAATGAACCTTATTCAGCTGAATATTTTTTGTTTGTTTAATCCTTACCCAAGGACATTTTTTCATTGCTTTTGGGGGGGGGAGGGGGGAAGGAGGGAAAGGAAAAAAGGAAGGAAGGAAGGAAAGAAAAAGAAAGAAACATTGATGGGAGAGGAGAGAAGCATTGCTTGGTTGCCTTCTTGTACACACCCTGACTGGGGATCAAACCTGCAACCTAGGTATGTGCCCTGACCGGGAACTTGAACCCCGGGAACCTGAACCCATGACCTCTTGGTCCATGGGACAGTGCTCCAACCAATGGAGCCGCACCCACCAGGGGGAGTGATATTTTTTTAATTATGGTAAAACATACATAACATAAAATTTACTATTTTAACCATTTTTAAATGCACAGTTTATTGGCATTAAGTACATTCACATTGTTGTGCAACCATTGTCACCATCCATTGCCAGAGCTAGTTATTTATTTATTTATTCATTTGTGGGGAAGGGAGGGAGAAAAAGGGAGAGAAACATTGATGTGAGAGTAAAACCTCAATTGGTTGCTTCTCCTATGTGCTCCAACCAGGGACCAAACCTGCAACCCAGTCATGCACCCTGACTGGGAATCAAACTGGCAACCTTTTGCTTTGTGTGAAGTTGCCCAACTAATTGAGCCCCATTGGTCAGTGCATCTCCAGAACTTTTTTATCTTCCCAAACTGAAACTCTGTATCCATTAAATCATAACTTCTCATTTCCCCCTCTCTCCAGCTATTAAGATATTAATCTTTATTACAAGCATTAGCAAATAACTGTCTTTTTAAAATTAAAGATAACTTGTCCCAAATGAGTAATGAAAAAGGGCAAGGACAAAGGTCCAGTGGTGTTTTCCAAATAGATTTTTTTGGTTGGTTGGTTGTTTTTTGGCTTTTTTTTTTAATCCTTATTACTGTATAGGCCACAGCTAACCCTTACCCAGGTGACCTTTGTGCAAATCATAAGCATTTAAGCTATTGAATGTGTTTATCACTTTGAGGGGATGGATATACTCAGGGTATTTCTGTCTTTGAAGAATATAATTTTATTTGGAGCTTCCTTTGTGATTTCCTTTTTTCACTGTTTCATAGTAACATCTTTACCAGCAATGACTGACCGTTTGGAATCTATAGCAAGACAGAATGGGTAAGTAGACTATCTGTAGGCAGAAATGTTTACCTTAGTGTTGACTTTGGGTGGCTTTATTTATGTGTCTTCTATTAATTTTTGTTTTGGTTTGTTCCTGCTAGACTGGGCTCTCATCTCAGTGCCAGTGGCACTGAATGTTACATCACGTCAGATATGTTCTATGTGGAAGTGCAGTTAGATCCTGCAGGACAGCTTTGTGATGTAAAAGTGGCTCACCATGGGGAGAATCCTGTGGTATGTGTTGTCGATATTTCACTGGAATCTATGGGGTTTACTTAGAGACATTAATTTTAAAATGGTTGGGGTTTGAAATAGCTTGGGTTTAGAATTTTTTCATGAGCCACTGTAGAGGTGATGTGATGGGTTATAACATCAATAGCTATAGGGTGGAATTTAGAGTAATATGGGTCCATCTCTAACATTATCCAAAAGCTTTGGCAAGTAGAAACCCCAGAGGAACCCTTTCCGTTTCCTATACACAAATATGACTTGCAGTTGAACTACAGGTGTTGAGGATTTAGAGATAAATAACAATGTTCCTCTCCTCAAAGAACTTATAATAATCAAGATGGACAGATAATCTTGTATATAGCTGATGTCTCTGAAAAATCCTGTAAAATAGATGAATCTAAAATGTGTGTAACCAAAGAATTGGATATGAATTCCAAGGATAGCATTAAAGAGAGGTCCTAATATTTCAAACAAGTTCTTGAAAGTTGATCCTTTTATAAACTATTTCATATACTTTGATCTTTAATTTCCCACCCCAAACCCATGGTTTACCAAATAGGAAGAAGATATTTGTTGATATCTGGATAATAAGGACCTTCTGTAGTTTTAATGTTTTTGTTCTAAAGCATGTGCTGCTAATAAGAGAAAAATTATTGGTATCTTCAAAGGTCTTAAAGTAGTTGAATGTTTTAACATAATTTCTTTAATTTCAGAGCTGTCCAGAGCTTGTACAGCAGCTAAGGTAAGCAAGTGATATATTCCATGATATTGGCAGACGATGCTGTTCTTTAGAGCTGGGTTAGTTGGTTGGTTGGTTGGTTGGTTTTTTGTTATAGCTAGGTTTTAAGGCCAGTCCAAGGTTACCTTCCTTGGAGACTTGGAGTGGTGAATACACAATACAGTATACAGTGTATTATAGAAATGTGAACCCCAAACCTGCACAGTTTTGTTAACCAGTGTCACCCGCAATACATTCAGTGAGAGGTGGGGTGGGGGGTGGGGACAGGAATTACCTTCCTAAGGAACAAATTCATTTTCTTGGGTCAAGATTTTTCAGAGTCTGTACTTGTTCACTTTCAGAATTGGCTTAGCTTGATTTCCTGCCCTATTCAGTCTAGCTCAGGGTTTCTCAACTTTGGCAGTATTGACAATTTGGATTGGAAAAGCCTTTGCTCTAGAGGGCTGGTGTGTGCATTGTAGGATGTTGAATATCCTCTCTCTGGACTGGTTGCCAGTGGTATCTCCTGTTGTGACAATCAGAAATATCTCCAGATAGTGCCAAATGTCCCTGGAGGGCAGCAGTCACTTTGGTTTGAGAACTACTCATCTAGTTTTTGGAATTCTGTATGGAGCAAGGATACTATTTAATTGAATCAGAGAAGGCTTGAGGAAATTGAGTCTGTGCCATAAAAATAACTTTTTCCACTTAATTTTGAGAAAAATTGCTTTGCCGTTAAGGCATATTGTGATATATTCCCATCATAGTGTAGTGCTAGGTTTGATGAATCTTTCAGCAATTAATGTTTTTTTTTTCTCCTGGCTAATTTTTTCCCTTTGAATTAAATGGAAATTTCCATACTTAAACCCAGAATCAACTCTCTGGGGACTTGAGAAAGTAACTACATCAATTTTATGTTTTAAATACAGTGAAGGTTTCAGATGACACATGGAGATGTCTTAGGGTGGTAACATTGAGGAACTAAGTTTTATATGGAGGTTTCTCAGTGATCAGTTTAATGTACCTAAACCAAATCCACCAAATTTGAACCAGCTCTTAAAAATTGCACTTTGGCCCTGGCTGGTGTGGCTTAGTGGACTGAGTGCCAGCCTGCAAACTGAAAGGTTGCTGGTTTGATTCCTGGTCAGGGCAGGTGCCTGGGTTGCAGGTGGGTCCTCGGTTGGGGACATGGGAGAGGCAACCAATGGGTGTATGTCTCACACATCAATGCTTCTCTCCCTTTTTCTCTCCTCTTTCCCTCCCTCTAAGAATAAATAAATAAAATCTTTAAAAAAATTAAACTTGTAATGCAACATAAAAAAATAAATTTTCTGTGATTTAACTGAATCAATAATTCTAGCAAAGCTGTATTACCACCTTAGTCTAGAAAGATGGACATTGGCTTAGTCCATAAAGCCAGTATTTTTGGTTCTAATCTGGAGTAGGAGATTACTCCAATTTACGAACCATTGGTGTTCTAAAGTTAATTTGAGGGCATGTTTGGAATTGAGAGCCTCAGCCTTTATACCTGACATTTTTAATCACTTTGTATGGATTGTAGGGAATATATTTTGCTGCTGCTCTGTTTCTTTTTACTGCCTTCAGGCACTTCTGGCTGTAAGTATTCAATACATGCCTGACCAAGTATCTGACATTGTCAGAGCAATTTAGCTTTCAAGAGACTTTTTTTTTTTTAAGTTTGAAAGAAAGATACAGAGAGAGTTGTTGAGTTGTGTTGGATTCCTAAGTCTGCCCACAGAAGCTATTTGACTAAGAATCCAAGCCAGACTTCTTAGTTCTTGAAAGCCAGGGGTCATGGTAGTACTAGTTTTGTGTTCTTTTTTCCCCCTAGGGTAGATCTAGATATAGGACCTTCGGAATATGTGGTTTGCCTTCATAGTACCCATCGGATTTTCTCTAGGTCATCCATCTCTCTCTAGTGTTCATTTATCCTCATTGTTCTTATGTTTCCATTTACTAACAAGTGTTCTATTTTCTCAATTTATTTACTCCATTTCCTCTCCAATCAAAAGTGTTTTTTTTTTTTTATCCTCATAACATCTGGTCTTAGTTATGTATGCAGAGGAAAAGGAAGTGATTTATTTAAACCAAGTCTCATTACCTAGAAGCAAATTAGTATATAAGTTACCAGGTCTTTTGTTTATTATATTTTAAACTGTTTATTAGGACCTTCTCCAGAAAAATGGACAGAGAAAGGAAAACATTTCATTTGCTTTTGCTACTTTTGATTGACTCTAGAAACTGGCTGGGGCTAAAAACAGTAGAGCAAATTATGAAAATTAGTTTGATATAGCCATGATTTTTGGAAGATCGTTGTTAAGATAAAGTAGTAATTATATGTTTTATTCTCCCTCTTCTCTCCCCTTCCCTGAACTCCTTGTAGGGAAAAAAATTTTGATGAATTTTCTAAGCACCTTAAGGGTCTTGTTAATCTTTATAACCTTCCAGGAGACAAGTAAGTACTTTTTTTTCTTTGCTTTTGTTGGAAAAATCAGTGTATATCTATAAATTACTGTGTGGTTAGAAATTTGCCAGGTCTTCTGCCTTACCTCATTTGTGATGTCTAATAATGACAATCTATAGCTCAGCTTCTAACTCTTATGTTTTTTAAACGTATTTTAAATAAATAGTATCTGCATTGATAGATTATCATACTGAAAGAAGATGATAATCCTTGAGATGTCTTCCACATATTGATTTCTGTGCTGAAAGAAATTAGTTCTGTATAACTGGCTTGTCATTTTTACTTTTATGGTACTTGGGATTCTGTTAATCTACTTGGCTCTTTTAAATAGTGATAAAAATTAGCTTTGAAAGAGCACTATGGATTTATTTTTTATTTTTTAAAAATTTTTATTATTTTTAAAATTTTATTATTTAAAAATATTATTTTTTAAATTTTTAAAATTATTTTTTAGAGAGAGGGGAAGAGAGGGAGAGAAACATGAATATGTAGTTGCCTCTTGAGTGCCCCCTACTGGGGACCCAGCCCACAACCCTTTGGTTCACAGGCTGGCACTCAATCTACTGAGCCACACCAGCCAGGGCTGAAAGAGCACTATGGGTTTAAAAAACCTTTTTAAAAGTTTTTTTTAATGGCCATTTTACTTGCTTCCAATATAGACTTGCACTCTAGCCTTTCTGTATTTGTTTGTGTGTATGTATGTATATATTTTAACTGTTTTAACTCTTGTTCTCTTCACTTACTTTTAGCAAACTGAAGACTAAAATGTACTTGGCTCTCCAGTCCTTGGAACAGGATCTATCTAAAATGGCAGTCATGTATTGGTAAGATTGGCTAAGGTGACCATTCTGTATGAACCCTCTGGGTACCTCGTTCCTAAAGTTTTTCACATAGGGGCTCGTTGCCAGGGTCTTATTATACAGGGTTGGGCAAAAGTAGGTTTTTAATTGTTTGTGTGAAAAAGAATACAATAATGAATAAATAATACAAGAATAAACTCTGTGTTTTACGTACTCATGACTATAAACCTAACTTTTCCCCCCACACTGTATATATCTGTATAATGGATGTACATTATTATATATCTATATTTTACCTACGTTATACATCTTGTACATTTCCTTTCACTTCTCAAATGTTGACTGCATTCCATTTTCTGAGTTTCAGTATCCCTAAGTTGTTGGTTGATATTCCCTAGGTTTTATCTTAAGACTTGTCAAACCTGGCCTCCATCTAATAAATAAGAGTAGTAATTTTTGTTTCACACATTATATACTGCTGTATACTCAGAAATAATCTCTTCACTTTGAATATGAAATATAGTTGTTATATGCACAATTATAGGACAGAGTCATTACTCTAAGTCTTTTAAGAGCTGAACTCATTTTCGCATGGTACAGTAATACCTGCAGGGCTTAAATACAAGCAAACATAGGTCATCTGTCTTGCAGGAAAGCAACCAACGCTGGTCCCTTAGATAAGATTCTTCATGGAAGTGTTGGCTATCTCACTCCAAGAAGTGGGGGTATGTGATCCTATTTTGCTTATTTAGAAAAATGTCTAATTTTAGTTGAGGAGTCATTGCTTAAAATTTTACCTTGGGTTTATAAAAGCAGAGGGAGAAAACCACTAGTAATTTTTGTATTTTTAATGACTTCTAAGGTAATTAACACCTGTCTTCACTAAATTTTATTTTTTTAATTGTGAAGTAAATTGTTTCTCCTAGAATCAATACTTATGCATCAGTCATAGTTTATAAGTTACTTTTGGAGCATGAGTCTGTATTTTACCTGATGAAGATGTAGTGATAAATGTTATTTTTCATAGGTCATTTAATGAACTTGAAGTACTATGCCTCTCCTTCTGACCTACTGGATGATAAGACTACATCTCCCATCGTTTTGCATGAGAATAATGGTAAGACTTTAACTGTAAAACAATTGCAGATTTTGTTCCATGTTTAAAAAGTATTTTTAAGAATGTGAATGCCTAGCCCTGCTTGTACTTTCTGGTTTGCTACTCCATAGTAAGTTTGCCATCCCTACAAAAGTTTGCACCTGATGTAGTTACATGCACACACACGTGCACACCTACCTACATATGTATATGTGTGTGTGTGTGTATATATATATATATATATATATATATATACGTACATAATAAAAGCTTAATAAGTGCTGCTGTTGAATAAGTAAATGAAAAGATATAAACCACCTGACTGGGAAAAATCCCTTTTTATCATTACTTCAAAGGTGAAGAAATTAGCCAACTTACTAAAGAATTACAACAATGCGACTCCTGGCCAAGGTGGAGGCATAGGTAGCCACACTGTGCCTCCTTGCACAACCAAGATAGGGACAACAACAATTTAGAAACAGAATAACCACCAGAACTGACAGAAAATTGAACTGTGTGGAAGTCAGACAACAAGGAGTTAAAATAGACCTGTTCATCCAGACTGGTAGGAGGGGCGGAGTCGGGCAGCCGGTGCAGGTTGTGGGTTGTGGCACAAAGAGCGTAGGGAATGAGTGCGTAAGGCATCCGGGGCTCACAAGACCGCAGTGGGTGGACCCCTGGGTGGACCCCAGGCGCATGGTGGAAACCGGCAGACCCAGTGAGGCGGCAACTGTGAAGCAAGGCACTGCGCGCAACCCAGGATCCCAGCACTGGGAAATACAGCCTTGGAGCACTGATTGAAAATACCTGTGGGGGGTTGAGGCGCAGGGAGAGACTCCCAGCCTCACAGAAGACGTCGTTGGAAAGTCCCACGGGGTGCACAAGCCCACCCACAAAGGAAAAGCACCAGAAAGGCCCAGTTTGCTTGGGGGAAGCAGCAGAAGGGACTGTTGTCCAAGGAGAGCGGAGCGAGTGCCATTGTTCCCTCTCAGACCCCGCCCCCACATACAACATCACAACCCAACGACTGGGTTGCCCCACCCTGGTGAACACCTAAGGCTCTGCCCCTCATAAGTAACAGGTGCGACTAGACCAAAAAACAGACCAAAAAAAAAAAAAAGGCTCAAACAGAAGAACAAATGAAAGCCCAGAACCAATACTTTTAAGCTACTGAGAGACAGCCAGCCTGTCAGATGCACAGTTCAAGGCACTGGTGATCAGGATGCTCACAGAATTGGTTGATTTTGGTCGCAAATTAGATGAGAAAATGAAGGCTACAATAAGTGAAATGAAGAAAAATGCACAGGGAACCAATAGTGATGGAATGAAAGCGGAGTCTCACATCAATGGAGTGGACCAGAGGAAGAAAAAAACATACAATCTGAAAAGAATGAAGAAATAAGAATTCAAAAAAATGAGAGGCTTAGGAACCTCCAGAACATCTTTAAATGTCCCAACATCTGAATTATAGGGGTACCAGAAGGAGAAGAGGAAGAGCAATAAATGGAAAACTTATTTGAACAAATAATAAAGGAGAACTTCCCCATTCTGGCTAAGGAAATAGACGTCCAGGAAGCTCAGAGAGTCCCAAAGAAGTTGAACCCAAGATGGAACACACCAGGGCACATCATAATTACATTACCCAAGGTAAAAATGAAGGAGAGAATCCTAGAAGCAGCAAGAGATAAGGAGATAGTAACCTACAAGGGCGTTCCCATCAGACTGTCACCTGATTTCTCAAAAGAGACCTTACAGGCAAGAAGGGGCTGGGAAGAAGTATTTCAAGTCATGAAAGGCAAGGACCTACATCCCAGATTGCTCTATCCAGCAAAGCTCTCATTTAGAATGGAAGGGCAGATAAAGTGCTTCTCAGATAAGGTCAAGTTAAAGGAGTTCATCACCCAGCCCTTATTTTTTGAAATGTTAAAGGGAGTAATCTAAGAAAAAGATAAAAAACATGTATAGTAAAATGACAGCAAACTCACAATTATTAACAACCACACCTAAAACAAAAACAAAAACTAAGCAAACAACTAGAACAGGAACAGAACCACAGAAATGGAGATCACATGGAGGGTTAGCAACAGGGGAGTGGGAGGAGCAGAGAGGGGGGAAGGTACAGAGAATAAGTAGCATAGAATGTAGGTTGAAAATAGGGGGAGGGCAAGAATAGTATGGGAAATGTAGAAGCTAAAGAACTTATGACACATGGACAAGAACTAAAGGGGAATGTGGGTGGGAGGCGGTGTGCGTGGTGGAGGGGAATGAAGGGGTGAAAATGGGACAACTGTAATAGCATAATCAATAATTTAATATATATATATAAAATAAATAAGAATTACAACAATGCATGTTATTTTCTGTTTGCACTTAAATATACTAAAACAGAATGAGAAATGCCCTAATACCTCATTTGGTGCCCTTGTAACTTTATTCATTGATTATCCTATAATCATAATTTTATTTAAATACATTCTAAAGTTAGAGAAAAAGAATAAATATCAGTAAAGTTTTTTTCCTTTGACTGCATTGTTTTCTGGTTTTTTGTTTGTTTGTTTTTGTTTTACTTACACACAGAAACACGGTTGGTTAGAAAGGTAACTTCTGCCCTGGCCAGCATGGCCCAGTGGTTTGAGCGCCACCGACCTATGAACCGAAAGGTCACTGGTTTGATTCCCAGTCAGGGCACATACCTGCATTGTGGGCCAGATCCTCAGTTGGGGGTGTGAGAGAGGCAACCAATCAGTGTATCTCTCACACATTGATGTTTCTCTCCTTCGTATTCTCCCTTCCCCCCTCTCTCTCTGTTTCTGAAAATAAATAAATCTTTTAAAGAAAGGTAACTTTTGCATTTCTAAGTTATATAGGTATTAAAGTATCTGATAGACAAAATAAGGCTGCCAGATTATACAGAAGTTAGCCTAGTTCTTTTTTTTTTTTTTTTAATATTAAGATCCTTTCCTTATAATTTGTGTTACTTTGGAGAATACCCTTTTTCTTTTGTTATTCCCAGTTCCTCGATCTTTGGGCATGAATGCATCAGTGACAATTGAAGGAACATCTGCTATGTATAAACTCCCAATTGCACCATTAATTATGGGGTCACATCCAGTTGATAACAAATGGTAAGTCAAATATAATTAATTCTAGGATAGCAATGTCCATTTTTTCAACTTCAAGCCCAGTATGAAACAACTATTACTTTCACTTGACTCTTCCCTAACTTGACTTTCTAGAGATTGGCTTTTTGTTTTATTCATGTTTCTTTTTTCAATGTCTATTTTAATATTCCTCTCTGAAGTCTGCTCATAGAACATATTCTCTGTCCTGAGAGAGAGAACTGTGCTAATTCCTCTGGTTTAATGATTGCTGCATTTTTCCTCATGGGACTTACGTTGATTTGGAGTTATGTTGGAGTGATAATTAGAGGACATGCCTCAGAATAGACATTTGATTAAATATGTTAGGGTTAACAAATAGAATGTTCCATAGTTGGGGGAAGAAAGTTCAAAGAGTGGGTTTTGGTAGCCTTGGTGAGCATATGTTTATATGATACAGGCATGTCTAAGAATGGGTGTTGAGATTTCTCATTTTCATATCAAGTCAAAATCCAACCCTCCACTTTTGTTTGAAGGACCCCCTCCTTCTCCTCAATCACCAGTGCCAACAGTGTTGATCTTCCTGCCTGTTTCTTCTTGAAATTTCCCCAGCCAATACCAGTATCTAGAGCATTTGTTCAGAAACTTCAGAACTGCACAGGTGAGTTTTAAGCATCAGGAGCTAATCTTGTTATGAATTCAAAAAGCAAACTTAGACCTCTTTCAGTCTTGAAAGCCTCAAAAAAGTACTGATGGGTATAAATGTCATGGTGTTTTGTATTGAAGTACTTTTTAAATGGACAAAATAGAATTTATGAAGGAAAAATTAAGCTGTCAACATTTTGATCTTACTGTGATCATTATGTTGATCCTTTTTTCTCCCCAGGAATTCCATTGTTTGAAACTCAACCAACCTATGTGCCCCTTTATGAACTGATCACTCAGTTTGAGCTGTCAAAGGACCCTGATCCTGTACCTTTGAATCACAACATGCGATTTTATGCTGTAAGTAAGGCCCCATAAACTATTGTAGGTTATGTTTGGACCCAAGATCTGAATCTTCCCTTATAGAGTTACTGAGGTCAGATAACCTACTTTAGGACTGCTGGATCATATCCTATTTCCTCAGTCAGGCAGGAAATTACAGAAATCTCTGGAACATACTGAAGAAAGAACATGAGCTTCTAAGTCAGGAAACAACACACATTTCATTTTTGAAATTTCAGATGAAACTCTTTTAATGGTATTCTGAACTTGTACAAGCTTGTAAATAGGTGTTAAGCATTCTTATTGTTTAATTTTTTCAAGTGCCATGAGTTTTAATCTGGAAAGTGCTGGAATGAATAAATTAAGGAAGGTTCCAAAACCTTATCTGTACCTGAGTTTATTGGAATGTCTGGTGATAGTGTAGACTAAAATAATAGTTCCCGAATTCTGGCTGCATTTTAATTATATGTCGAGTATTTTATAAAAAGATATTTTACTTATTGTTCAGGAACCTCTTTTATATAGATTTCTGAGGTAATTTTTATGGTAGCTGCATTAGAAAACCACTAGCACAACGTTTACAAAAAGCCTTTTCGGCCGAGTATGTGGCATTTATAACACCAGCTAACCAAAGCATTAACAGTGGAGTTTTATTATCCATCAAGAAATTGCTGTTGAATTTTGAGGCATTGGGGTTTTTTTAGAGTAGTTTGTGATTGGAGTACAGTAGGTGAGTAGCATTAATATCCTTAATATTTGTTCTTTTTGCTTAGGCTCTTCCAGGTCAGCAGCACTGTTACTTTCTCAACAAGGATGCTCCTCTTCCAGATGGCAGGAGTCTACAGGGAACCCTTGTTAGCAAAATCACCTTTCAGCACCCTGGCCGAGTTCCTCTTATCCTAAATCTTATCAGACACCAAGTAGCCTATAATACCCTAATTGGAAGCTGTGTCAAAAGAACTATTCTGAAAGAAGGTACTGCCTTTCCTTTTGATATACTTACTTGTAGATGTAAACTGAAAACTCCAGTTTGGTGACCCATCATATTGCCTGTGGAACTTTTAAAAAATGCAGATATGTGGCCCTGGCTGTTGTGGCTCAGTGGATTGAGTGCTGGCCTGCGAACTGAAAGGTCACCATTTTGATTACCACTCAGGGCACATGCCTGGGTTACAGGCCAGGTCCCCAGTTGGGGGTGTGCGAGAGGCAACTGATCGATGCATCACTCTCACACATCGATATTTCTGTTCCTCCCTCTCTAAAAATAAATAAATAAATCTTTAAAAAATACAGCTATTTGGTTTCCACATCCACATGAACTGAATTAGAACCTCAGTGGGAGGTGTTGGGAATCCATTTTAAGCTCCACAAATAATTTGATGGAACCAATCTATAAATTGGCGTTTGGAAGCTACTGTGTTTTGGGGGAGGCGGGGATGTTGCAGTGGATACTCTTTCTCTGCATACAGTGATATAATTGGGTAGCTAAGGGCCTGAACCTTGCATCAGAATATAAAGTAGAACTTCGGATGCCATAGGAAGAGAGGGCTTCTTGATATTTAAATTTTAGGTGGTTAGGACAGTGCTTTCGGTCCTGATTATATTTCCTTGTTCTTTTGAGAACTTAATTGTATAGTTTAAAAAGGAGTGAAACCTGTGCCCCTTTCTTTTTCTCCCAGGATTCTGGAATGCTCGTGTTTTTCCAACACAGTTTGCTATTAGAAGCTTTGATGTGAATATTGGCTGTTCTAGTTGACTATAGTTCCTTTTTACCTTAGTTGTAAAGCACTTCAGTAATAGAGATATATCAATGCAAATGGTAGGTAAGAAGAAACAGGGAAGGTAAATCAGGAGGCATTTTTTCTGGGAATAAGAATTGCTTCAGAAATGAGAAATTTTAGAGAGCAAACACAAGTGTGCTTATTTCTGTTTCATGTATTCAGATCCTAGGAGAATTCTCCAAATAGCTTCAGGGCATCTAAAAGTGAGTTTTTTAAAGTTAGTTATGAAATTAATCCTACAGAGATGCTTTCTGCCGAGAAAGTATGTGATCTCTATCTCCGGGCTGCCAGCACGTTTGCCGTAGGAACATATGATGGCAGATATGTGTGCACTTGGCTTAAGTATAGCATTTTAGATTGTAGCCCTGTATCCCTGCTCAACAGATTATGGGTTACACAGCTAACAGCTGCAAACACTGATAGAAAGCAGGGCTTATGGCAGTTGTTCTAGATGTCTGCTTATCAAATAGAATGAGGAACTCCTTTTGGTCATATTTATATTCAGAATTCACTTTTAAGGCAGGTTGTTTATAACTGTCAAGGTCTTTAACAATTTAGGGATTACCATAAATGCCTTCATTTTAGAAAATTGAAAGTTAGTTACTATTTTGTTTTGGAGTATTTATAACATAAACTGTCAGATTCCTTCTATTACCTGTGGATGACATAGTAGGTATATGTGGGAGGAACTCTGGTCTGAAGTGCTTCCCTGTCCACCACAGATGAGAAATAAGTTGTCCTGGACACAGACTTGCTGTTCCGGCAGGGAAGGGGGTGGTGATTCCCTCCAGTGGAGAATTCCCCGAGCCCTTCTTCCAAATGGCTTTTATTGGGAATGGTATGTGTAGGTGTATACATGCATAGTTCATTAAACAATGTCAGAAAGGCTATAGTCGTACAAAAACAGATATTATCTATAGATAACAATTGAAGGAACACAGAGATTTGTCACAGGTCAGGGTCTTTTAGTCATGCGGACGCCAGAGGGTCTTTTAAGACATGTTTCATGAGGTAAGGAGTTTATTCCTTATACCTTGAACTAAACATCCGGTTTATATCACTAGGACTATACAAAACAAAGCAGAGCAAGCTTCAAAGGATACAATGTATTTATCAGGCCTGATTCCCACTGGAGCCCTCAGTGTTAGAGTCAGTCATGTCTGCCACCTGTGTTTTTACGTGGTTTTCCAGGGAGACTTACTAGCCCCCTTCCGGGCTTACTCTCGTGGGGCTACAATGTCAGAAACCACACAGGGTGGTCCCCAACAGGTACAAGATCTAATTTCCAAGGGAAAGAATTTAATTCTTTACACTTAGGGATTATCATTTACTTGTCTCAAGTCTTATTATTTGGTTAATTATTTTATGACATTTTGTCTTTTAGATTCTCCTGGGCTCCTCCAGTTTGAAGTGTGTCCCCTTTCGGAGTCCCGGTTCAGCGTATCTTTTCAGCATCCTGTGAATGACTCCCTGGTGTGTGGTGAGTTGTATGGGTGGCTGCCACCTCTCATGGCAGCAGTTTGGTCTTTATCTCTTTCTGAAAAGTCAAAAGCTGAATCTATCTCAAGTACTTCCTATATATTTTGTCTTTCAGTGGTAATGGACGTGCAGGACTCAACACATGTGAGCTGTAAACTCTACAAGGGGCTGTCAGATGCACTCATCTGCACAGATGACTTCATTGCCAAAGTTGTTCAAAGGTAGCACTGGCCCTTTTCCATCAGAATCCCAGTAAGAGGTATATAATGATGAATTGGACATTTAGGAGGAAAGCACTTAGTCACTGCTTCGAATTTACCCTTCTCTGCTTTTGGATACAAAAGCAATATAAGCTTTGGTTTTTTAAATATTATGAGGGTAACGGGAAGTAAGGTAGGTAACTTCAGGTCTGGTGTTAGTGTTCTTTTAGGAGGGAGAGAGCTGAAGTAAGATGTAGATTTTTTTTTTCACTTATCCTCTCTGTCACTTCTTAACATATGTAACATGTCAGTGGCAGTGTGTGGGAAGATAATTAAGCCAGTTAGCTTAACAGGAACATTAATAAGTAATTGTGAGATTTTTCTTGAGCAGTGCTAGGACCGTTTTGTAAATAAATTTTATTGAAACACAGCCATGTCTGTTTTATTTACATATTATAAGTCTTACATATTGTAAGTTTTACATATAGCTGCTTTTGAGCTAAGATAGCACAGTAGTTGGGCAGAAACCACATGATCTTCAAAAATCTAAACTGTTACTGGCCTGTAACAAAGGTTGCTGACACATTCTAGAGCAAAATGTTTTCAAATGTAGGTTTCTAAAAAGAAATTTATGTGAAAGACAGTGCTTTGCTTTAAAATAAACAAAATTTTGCCCTGGTTGGTGTGGCTCAGTAAATTGAGCACTGGCCTGCGAACCAAAGGTTGCTGGTTTGATTCCCAGTTGGGGGGCACATGCCTGGGTTGCAGGCAGGGTCCCCGGTAGGGAGCATGCGAGAGGCAACCACACATTCATGTTTCTCTGCCTCTCATCTTCCCTCCCTTCCCCTCGCTAGAAATAAAAGAAATAAAATCTTAAAAAAAAAACCCACACAAGATTTCACCCTAGCTGGTTTGTCTCTGTGGATTGAGCACCAGCCTGCAAACCTAAAGGTCACTGGTTCAATTCCCAGTCATGGCACCTGCCTGGGTCCGAGGCCAGGTCCCCATTTGGGGGCATGAGAGAGGCAACCGATCTAGGTGTCTCTCACACATTGGTGTTTCTCTCCCTTTCTTTCTCCCTCCTTTTCCTTCCCTCTAAAAATAAAATCTAAAAAAAAAATATATAAAATAAACAAGATTCCATACCAGTAGTAGCACTTTGCATAGTATAGTTTTTGGATGATCCAAGCCAGTAAGGTTTAGAACTTGATGGGTCAAGAGATTTTTCCACTGGTTCATTAAGATAAATGTATATTCCATTTAATTACATGTGAAACTCCAAAAGGAGGGCATTTTGTTAATAAGTTAATTACTACCAATTTTAGTGCATTATAATAGCTAATTATTTGGATTCTCGTTTGTGGTTGGTTTGTGTTTGGTGGTGCTTCTAAAGAGGTTGATGATTATCTATTGGTCCAGATTCTTTTGGAATAAATACCCAAAGCTCTGGCATTTCATAGAACTGTTCCTGCCTGTGGGGTCACTCACCTTATCTGAAAACTGCATTACTGCAAACCCCTGATGATATATCTAAATCTCAGGCAAAATTAAAGCCTGTTTTCCTAATGAAAAGTTGATTTTATTCAGCAACTAGTGCAGTGTTAACTTTGTTTTTTCCCTCTTATCTTAACAGATGTATGTCCATCCCTGTGACGATGAGGGCTATTCGGAGGAAGGCTGAAACCATTCAGGCCGACACCCCAGCACTGTCCCTCATTGCAGAGACAGTTGAAGACATGGTGAAAAAGAACCTGCCCCCGGCTAGCAGCCCAGGGTATGGCATGACCACAGGCAACAACCCAATGAGTGGTACCACTACACCAACCAACACCTTTCCGGGGGGTCCCATTACCACCTTGTTTAATATGAGCATGAGCATCAAAGATCGGCATGAGTCGGTGGGCCATGGGGAGGACTTCAGCAAGGTGTCTCAGAACCCAATTCTTACCAGTTTGTTGCAAATCACAGGGAACGGGGGGTCTACCATTGGCTCGAGTCCGACCCCTCCTCATCACACGCCGCCACCTGTCTCTTCGATGGCCGGCAACACCAAGAACCACCCGATGCTCATGAACCTTCTTAAAGATAATCCTGCCCAGGATTTCTCAACCCTTTATGGATGCAGTCCTTTAGAAAGGCAGAACTCCTCTTCCGGCTCACCCCGGATGGAAATGTGCTCGGGAAGCAACAAGACGAAGAAGAAGAAGTCATCAAGATTACTGCCTGACAAACCCAAGCACCAGACTGAAGATGACTTTCAGAGGGAGCTATTTTCAATGGATGTTGACTCACAGAACCCTATCTTTGATGTCAACATGACAGCCGACACACTGGATACACCACACATCACTCCAGCTCCAAGCCAGTGTAGCACTCCCCCGACAACTTACCCGCAACCAGTACCTCACCCCCAGCCCAGTATTCAAAGGATGGTCCGACTATCCAGTTCAGACAGCATTGGCCCAGATGTAACTGATATCCTTTCAGACATTGCAGAAGAAGCCTCTAAGCTTCCCAGCACTAGTGATGATTGCCCACCCATTGGCACCCCTGTTCGAGATTCTTCAAGCTCTGGGCATTCTCAGAGTGCCCTCTTTGACCCTGATGTCTTTCAAACCAATAATAATGAAAATCCATACACTGATCCAGCTGACCTTATTGCAGATGCTGCTGGAAGCCCCAGTAGTGACTCTCCTACCAATCATTTTTTTTCTGATGGAGTAGATTTCAATCCTGATCTGTTGAACAGCCAGAGCCAAGGTGGTTTTGGAGACGAATACTTTGATGAAAGCAGCCAAAGTGGAGATAATGATGATTTTAAAGGATTTGCATCTCAAACACTAAGTACTTTGGGGGTGCCAATGCTTGGAGGTGATAATGGGGAGACTAAGTTTAAAGGCAACAGCCAAGCTGACACGGTTGATTTCAGTATTATAGCAGTGGCTGGTAAGGCCTTGGGTTCTGCAGATCTCTTAGAGCATCACAGTGGTAGCCAGAGTCCTTTATTGACCACTGGGGACTTAGGGAAAGACAAGACTCAAAAGAGAGTAAAGGAAGGCAATGGCACCAGTAGTAGTAGTCTGTCGGGGCCAGGATTAGATAGCAAACCAGGGAAGCGCAGTCGGACCCCTTCTAATGATGGCAAAAGCAAAGATAAGCCTCCAAAACGGAAGAAGGCAGACACTGAGGGAAAGTCCCCGTCTCACAGTTCTTCTAATCGACCTTTCACCCCACCTACCAGTACAGGTGGATCCAAATCTCCAGGCAGTTCAGGAAGGTCTCAGACTCCCCCAGGGGTTGCCACACCACCCATTCCCAAGATCACCATTCAGATTCCTAAGGGAACTGTGATGGTGGGCAAGCCCTCTTCTCACAGTCAGTATGCCAGCAGTGGTTCTGTGTCTTCCTCAGGCAGCAAAGGCCACCATAGCCATTCTTCCTCCTCTTCCTCATCATCTGCTTCCAACTCAGGCAAGATGAAAAGCAGTAAATCAGAGGGTTCATCAAGTTCAAAGTTAAGTAGCAGTATATATTCTAGCCAAGGGTCTTCTGGGTCTAGCCAGTCCAAAAATTCATCCCAGTCCGGGGGGAAGCCAGGCTCCTCTCCCATTACTAAGCATGGACTGAGCAGTGGCTCCAGCAGCACCAAGATGAAACTTCAAGGAAAGCCATCATCACTTATGAATCCTTTAAGTAAACCAAACATATCCCCTTCTCATTCCAGGCCACCTGGAGGCTCTGATAAGCTTGCTTCTCCAATGAAGCCTGTTCCGGGGACTCCCCCATCCTCTAAAGCCAAGTCCCCTATCAGTTCAGGTTCTGGTGGTTCTCATATGTCTGGAACTGGTTCAAGCACTGGCATGAAGTCATCTTCAGGGTTAGGATCCTCAGGCTCATTGAAAACTCCCCCATCATCTAATTCTTGTACAGCATCATCATCTTCCTTTTCCTCAAGTGGCTCTTCCATGTCATCCTCTCAGAACCAGCATGGGAGTTCCAAAGGGAAATCTCCCAGCAGAAATAAAAAGCCATCCTTAACAGCTGTCATAGATAAACTGAAACATGGGGTTGTCACCAGTGGCCCTGGAGGTGAAGATCCAATGGATGGCCAGATGGGGGTGAGCACAAATTCTTCTAGCCATCCTATGTCCTCCAAACATAACATGTCAGGAGGAGAGTTCCAGGGCAAGCGAGAGAAAAGTGATAAAGACAAATCAAAGGTTTCCTCCTCGGGGGGCTCAGTGGATTCATCTAAGAAGACTTCAGAGTCAAAAAATGTAGGGAGCACGGGTGTGGCAAAAATTATCATCAGCAAGCATGATGGGGGATCCCCCAGCATTAAAGCCAAAGTGACTTTGCAGAAACCTGGGGAAAGTAGTGGAGAAGGGCTTAGGCCTCAGATGGCCTCTTCCAAAAACTATGGTTCTCCACTCATCAGTGGTTCCACTCCAAAGCATGAGCGTGGTTCCCCCAGCCATAGTAAGTCACCAGCATATACTCCCCAGAATCTGGACAGTGAAAGTGAGTCAGGCTCCTCCATAGCAGAGAAATCTTATCAGAACAGTCCCAGCTCAGATGATGGCATCCGACCACTTCCAGAATATAGCACAGAGAAGCATAAGAAGCACAAAAAAGAAAAGAAGAAAGTAAAAGACAAAGATCGGGATCGGGACAAAGACCGAGATAAGAAAAAATCTCATAGCATGAAGCCAGAGAGTTGGTCTAAATCACCCATCTCTTCAGACCAGTCCTTGTCTATGACAAGTAACACAATCTTATCTACAGACAGGCCCTCAAGGCTCAGCCCTGACTTTATGATTGGGGAGGAAGATGATGATCTTATGGATGTGGCCCTGATTGGCAATTAGGAACCTTAGTTTTTAAGACAAAAAACATGGCCAGAGAAAAACTAAAGTTTATAGGCAAACCATCACACGGGGTGAGCCGGAAAAGTCTGATTTTGTGTTTAAGAATGTCTTTGACACTAGGCTGGGTGAATTAGAAAGACATAGCCAGACCCTACTAGAGAGATCATAGGTTTGATTACTAAGAATCACTGTTCCTTTGCCAGAAAAAAAGAGTTAAAATATTTGCTTATGAAAGGGAGGGGGTGGGAGGGACATAGGGAAAGGGAAGGGTGGGAAACCGTTTTGTGGGAAATAATCATATATATTTTTTTCTCCCCTTTCCATTTTTAGGCCATGTTTTAAACTCAATTTTAGTGCATGTATGTGAAGGGCTGGGCAGAAAATGAAAAAGCAATACATTCCTTGATGCATTTGCATGAAGGTTGTTCACCTTTGTTTGGGTAGCTGTCCATTTGAGGCATGGACAAATGAAGGACTTTGGTTATTTTGGACACTTAAGTAATGTTTGGTGTCTGTTTCTTAGGAGTGTTTGGGGGAGGGAAGATAATTTTAGCTATTTATTTGTAATATTTTAACCCTTTATCTGTTTTTATACAGTATTTCCTTCTAATTCTGTGAGGTTCAGGGTCAAAATGATGGGAGTGAAAAGACCAAGGCTTATTTGGTTGTAGGGAGCTTGTAGCTTGTGCTGGTGCTATAGCATCAAGCCCAACCAAATTAGTCAGAGCCCACCTTTGACATTAAAGAGAAAAACCAAAAGGTATATTTTTTTCGAGGTTTTTCAGGGCATTCAAACATCATAGGAATATTAGGAGTTACTCCCTATGGAAGTAATTGATTTATAGCCTTTTTCCTTTACAAAAAAAATCTGGGCTGGCTTTTTGGGATGTAAACGTGTTTTCGGATGTAGTAAGGTTTAATGTGGGACAGCCTCCCTGACCCAGAGTGGCATGAAAACCATTGCAGAATTAATAGTTCTCCTATTTCCACAATGTGCCAAAAGTCCACACCCCAGCATTTTGTTTGTAGGAGAACTGATGCCATTCCTGAGAGCTGGACTCCTTTCTCTTCACAAGGAGGAGTCCAGACTTTAATCACTCATGCTCCCTTAGATAAAACAGTAAAAAAAAATGCAGCCATAGTTCACTCAAAACAATTTCAAGCTCACTTGAAGGGGGGCCTGGAATGCTAGGTGGGCATGAAAATAAACCCTTGCTACTGTGTAGCAACACAATTGGACCTTTATGGAGGAATAGGTCTGAGTCTGGATTTGGGGGCACACCAATAAGAAGCCCTTCTCATAAGTGTAAAAATCCAGGAGACCATTTGAGTGCAACACAAGTTCTCAGTATTTGGAGGGTCCTCTCAAAATTCTGCGGCCTTACTTTGATTTTGACACCTGCACTGTGCCATTCCTGATGATTCCCTTCAGGATCTGTATCAGCAGGACGGGGCACGGTCCCCAGCACAACTCTTCTGGATTAAAACAAAACGACAACAACAAAAAGCCAGGTCATCAATTTGTGTATGTTTGTGATAAATGGAGTGACTTCATCAGATATTGAAGAAGATTTCTATATTCAGCTCTTTCTGCAGGTTGGAGTTAGCATAGAGTTGGAAAATCAGCTTTGGCTTTCTTCCCTGACTGTCTCTGATTTCCTCTAGTGGTTTCCCTTTTCTGGTCATCAGCTCTCAACAACTCTGCCACTTTTGTGTCCCAAGGTAATAAGAAGTAGGAAACGAAACATTGCAAAGTGGAGCAAGAAAAGTTATCGGTTACCGTATCAGAGTCAAATGTCTTGGGTGACACTAAGAAGGACATGGGCAAGGTGATACCAGAGTGCTTTATCTTGTGATGCTGATACAGTAGCAGCCTCTCAGACATACAACCAGGTTGGATTTCTCACAAGTTTCTCACCTAGTTTTGAATCCTATCCCACTGGTTTCTGCAGGAAAAAAAAAAAACATGCCTTTTAAGTTTGTTCTGGGTGGGGAAAATCTTATGGGGAATGTACTGCATAATATCAGGGGCTCAGCTCCCCCAAGCAGAGCTAACAAATACCAAAATGAGTAAACTGGGAAGCTTTTTCTCTCTTTCTGTCTTCATCCCAGATCAAAGGATCCCGAGTTAGGATCTGGATGAAGGATAAGCCCCTGAATTGTCGATGGGCACACCCCACACTCTGACCCAGCATCTGAACTTGCTTAACAGGGAGCCGGGGCTAAACTGCTTCACCCTGCCTGAGAACCAGGGAGCACTGCATTTCTCCACAGGGTGGAGGAGAAGAGGCAGAATAAACCGAGCCTGGGACACCTCCCTCCTGTCTAGGTGTGCTCATTCTCCTGTTTCAAAAGACGGCAAGGATGTGAAGTCAACTTCTACCTGTCTTCTGCTGGCGTCTTAATGTATTCTTTGACCTGATTCCTCTTCTGTCTTTTGGCACATGTTAGGGGTCCTTGGTTAAAACCTGCTCTGATGTACATGAACATTTCAGGTTCAAAATCAATGTGTTTTCAAACAAGTATTGTTGGGGTGGGGGGTTGGGGGGAATGAAGCAGGATATAATTGCCAAAACCAGGCTTCAGGTTGGTGGCTCTTGGAAAGATTTTCCTTAAGGCCTAGGTCTAAAAATTTAGTGCAGCAATATCATGAATTCGTAGAACAAAAAACTTTCAGGGAGTCTGTGAGTCCCACAGTATTCAGTCAAGTTATTTAAAACAGATCCCAGTATGGGAAACTCATTCACAATCCATGGGCAATCTCATTTTCTTTTACCTTTCTCTTTCTTTTCAATCCTCCTCCCTTATTTCTACCCTTAAGTTAGTTTTCTGAGGGGTAGGAAGTACTTAACATCTCAGAAACTAGGTTGGGAAACATGCTCAGCTGTAAAAAGTTGGGTTTTAAATTTTGAGTTTTAAAAAATGTACATCAGGAGCAGCTGGGGAGGGTTTTTTCTAAAATCTTTCAAGTTTGATTTTCTGTGTGTATGGCCATTCTGTAAATACTTTGGGGTTTTTCATTTTTTTGAAAGGAGACAAAATCTGTGGGATTTTTTCCCCTGAAACATTACAAAAGAATCTGATTATTTACATGCAAATAAATTTCTTTGATAAAAAGTAGTATGCCTATATGTGATAAGTTTTTAACCTCTGAACAATTTTCATTTATTCAGCTTTCTAAAAGTCTGGTAAACTAAAATTTTAACAAAAAGTAAAAGTCTTGCCTTGGCTGGTGTGGCTCAGTGGATTGAGTGTGGGCCTGCAAACTGAAGGATTGCATTTGACTCCTGGTCAGGGCAGGTGCCAGGTTCCTGCTGGGGGTGTGCAGGGCTTTTGAGAGGCAGCCAACCGATGTCTCTGTCCCTCTCCCTCTAAAAATAAAATTAAAGTTAAAAATAAAAATCTTCCTCCAGTATTAGTCAATGTAGGTTAACTGGAAAAGATTGTTGAAATACGGAAACAGACCTGTAGAAGTTTCGTTTGATTTATCTACCCAAGCCAGTTTTACTATTTCCTGCACACCTTAGTCATCAAATTCATCGTTAATTCTGGCTGTGGAGAAAACTGCTCTTAGATGAGCCATAACTCCAAGGCTGTTTTTACATGGCTGAAGTGAAGCAATAACATTAGAAGTATCTGTGAGGGGGGCGGGGGGAACAAACATCTAGACCTGGGGTGTGGACCTGAGAATGAGTTTCTGAAGCCTGGGTTTCTTGCTTAGGAAAGGAAGTCCTTTCTAAGATAATGAAAGAAAAAAAATGCTCGAAGAGTTGGGGTAATAAGCCTCACAGCTAAAATATGCCCATTTTTAAAGCTCTCCAAGACTATTCTTAAACTCGTAATTAGATCCATAACAAGACAGTCATTAAAGCTGCGAATTAAGAGATGAAAAATAATTTTTAAAAGTATGAAGACAAACGGTTATCTCCCTTGGAGTTAGCGGTGGTGCTGCCAGACCCACTGGAATTTATCTTTGGGATATGATTCTGTAGTTTGTCGCTGTTTTAAGGGTAAACTCACTCCTTAATTAATGGAAATCCGGTCATAAATTTCGTGACCTTGCGGGCTGGAGTTGCTAAAGTATATGTAATGACACAACCTAAGGAGTCAGATAAATGTCATCGTTTCCTCCCGGCCAGCGCCCCCGCCTACGCGCCCAGACACGCTTGTTTCTCCCGCCAAAGTGGCGTCGGGATCAGGTTCTCACCAACCAGAGCCCTGATTGGAGGACGGGCAGGCAGTAGAGCCCATTGGGCGCCAGCGGCGGTCGGGTGGCTAAGAGGCGGGGGAAGCCAAAGGCCCTTCAGCCTTGCCCGCCCCCACTTCCACCACAGCGCGCCCCTCCCCCAGCTAAAGGAGTAGTCGCCCAGCTCTAGGACTGCACCCCCCTGACCCTAGGCCGTTAGGTGCGGCCTCGCTGCAAATCCCCGCAGCAGCGGACTGCGCAGTTATCTCCCTGCTTTCCTGATCCATGCATAGGGAGACACACGCCCCGCAGCAGCCCTTCAGGCCTCCCTGCAATACCCGGTAATGCAATCCACGGGGGCGGGGGAGGCGGCGGCAGCTGTAGCAACGGCGGCGGCGGCAGCAACAGCAGCACTGCCCCAATCTAGAGACAACCAGAAAGAGGAAAATGGCTCCGAGCAGGGACCGCCTGCTGCACTTTGGGTTCAAGGCGACAGTGAGTGATAGGGGAAGGGAGTTGGGTGGCCGGGAAGGACGTGTGTGACAGCACAGGCTATCGGGGAAGAAGCGACAAGACTTAGGGGCCTGGGGAGAATAGACAGAAAGCTCAAGTGCTTGGTGGTTGATGTGTGCTCCAAGCCCGCGGAGGGGAGGAGAACAGGGGGCTCCGGTGCTGCGTGCAGTTTTCCTCCTTTGCTCTCCCGGGTCCGCGAGCACGCGCGCACTAGCACCCGCCCCACAGCCCCTCCCATACACAAATACACACAGACAGATAGGCACTTCCCTGCCTCTCCAGTTCGCGGTGGGCCTGCCCGCCTGGGAGCCGAGAGCGGGTGCACGCCGCCGCCGCACTCCGGCCGCTCCCAGGCTGACTGTCGTCCGCGCCGCCCGGGAGTGGGGGAGGGGTGGTCTCGCGCCGCCGCGCGCTCCTCCCCCTCCCCCTCCCCACGCTGTTCCGAGGCCGGGCGACTCTGCCCAATGAGGAGCGGCGTTGCTGGCAGGTGGAGAGTGTTTTTGTTTTGGGTTGAAGTTGAGGCTGAGGAGAGAGGGGAGCTAGCGACGAGCAGTCGTCGCCCCTGCCGGCGCCGTGGTAGGTGGAGGAGGCCCAGCCGCAATCGAGAGGTCTCTCCTCCCCCTCCGTCGGTCGCTGCCCGCCGCTCCTCTGCCTCCTCCGGGTCCCGGAACTCCTGGGCCTGCCCGGGGCCCCTCGGCTTTGCACTCCGCTCGCCGCAGCGCCCGGCCCCGGCCGCACCCGCCGGCCCCATGAGGAGGGACGTGAACGGAGTAACCAAGAGCAGGTTTGAGGTGTGAGCTTGGGGCTGGGGGGGAGACTAGGGTAGCGTGAGGGAGGCGATTCGCACTCTCGTGTCCCCCCAGTTCGCTCCCTGTGGAGCCTCCTACCTTGCTTAGCGCCGTCACGCACCGGCCGCTGGGGCTGCCTGACTTCGTTCCCCATCCTCGCAGCCCGGCTGCCCTCGCCCTCCGGGCTGGTCGCCTCCTGCCTCTTCCACCCCGCGGGCCCCGGCGGGGGATTAGCTAGCTCTGGCGCCCTAATTCTCCCCTCCCCCCAGTATCACTCCGCTTTCCATTCTTTACACAACCCTTGGCTTGCCTCCCTCCACCCGGCAGAGAAAGCATCACAACTCCGATCGACCGGAGCCTGCTTTTCTTTCCGCCAGCCTTTTCGTGAATCGAGGGGGGAAATGATGGGTCAGGGGGCCCGTTGTCCGAGATTGAGAGACGTTGGTTAAACGAGGGAAGTGGAGACGGTAGGCCGGGACGAGAGGGACGACCACGGGTTTTCGGTGCCGAGTTTGGTGGGGGTATTGTTCTGATACTTCCTCTTCTTTCCCGTCGGTACTTTTGTGGTTCATTGTTTCTGGAAACTCTTAGATCTGTACAGGCTTTGAGATTGGGACGGAGAGGTCCGGGAGACTTCAGAAAATTCATTCAAATCCGTCTGTATCTGAGAACTTTTCTGACGAGAGAGGATTCTAGTCGTGAAATTGAGAAATGGATGAAGAAATACGGAAACATTTGAAGGCGTCTTTAGAGAGTAGTCACCGTGTAGGGAAGTGATTCCTTTGGGAAGTGAAGTAACGACAGATGAATTACAGTAGTAGAGTCCTTTACAAGAAGGTTTATCGCGGGGATTGAGAGAAAGTAAGTTCTGCGACCAGAAGAGAAAATGTTACCTGGCCTTTTCTGGCAGAGAATCAGGCTGACCTGGGATCACTCACAGCTCAGTGTACATCTCACTTGGTTTTCTTCATTTCCATTTGAAGGATGAAATTGTAAGACGGTGAGACAGAAGTTGCAGGAAACTTCCCAACTAGGTGCACAGGGTAAAATTTTTACCTAAAAGTCTTCTGTTTAGTCGATTGCTTGATTTTTTATGCTTATGGGAGAATGTTTTAATTTACCCACAAACGTCAAGATAGGAAGTGTTTGGGGGAAGTTTAAATTCAGAACTACAATATTGTTGTTGCAGGCAAGGAGTGGAATGGTCTCCCTCGAGTTTTCATATTTAATTTAATCACAGGAAGAAAGCATTATAGTGGATATGATTTGGTTTTTATTGGGTTGGCCAAAAAGTCCGTTACATTTTTTTCCATAAAAATAAGACACATTTTCATTTTCACCAATAACTATTTATTTGGATATTTTGAGTATGTCAACTATCTCCTGCTATTGGTTTCTAGTGGGTAGAGGCCAGGGATGCTATTAAACATGGTCCAATGCAAAGAATTATTTGGCCAAAATGTCAATAGTACCAAGAAACTTCCCAAACCACTTTTGACGCATCCGATCAGTCACAGCACCACCTCCATACACTACACAAATCCTTTTTTAAAAAATTTTAGTAGTGTTTTTACCTTTCTTGAACTAATAAAGCATAATAAACTGAAAAGGTTGCTTATCTTCTTCCGTCAGCAATATTACAATGGCTGCACAAAAATTCACCAGTTTCGATAAGTTTTTTTAAATGCATGCTGATATGACAGCTGTCACAATACACTCTTAACAAAATTGTTTCAAATGAGGTTAAAGACAACGAAGCACTACTAGAGCCACCATAACAACTTTTGGCCAGCGCAATACTTTCACAGAACTTTATGTTGCCCTAATGTACAGAGACCCAATAAGCTTAATTTTTGGTGTTTGCATACTCAGTACTGCTGTAAAAGTTGAGGCTATCATTAAAATTACTGAACAGACATTTAGCGTTAATAGGAGTCCTGAAGATTTGAGTGGGGGTTAGCCTTTTGCCATTGCAACCAGCTCTTTATCATTTTGCTGTTCACTTTTAGGTTGTGTAACTGTCAGAGTTCTTTTGTAGAACTATAAATTATAAAAATTTTAAAAATTAGCCCTGGTTGGCGTAGCTCAGTGGATTGAGCTCAGGCTGTGAACCAAAGTGTCGCAGGTTCGATTCCCAGTCAGGGTACATTCCTGGGTTTCAGGCCATGACCCCCAGCAACCGCACATTGATGTTTCTCTCTCTCTTTCTCCCTTTCTTCCCTTTCTAAAAATAAATAAAATTAAATCTTAAAAAAAAATTAAAAAAATTAAAATACATAAATTATAAAAATTTATAATTTAATTTGTAGTTTATCCATAATAGTGGTACTTAAAAATTAAGAAAATTTAATTGCATCGTCGCAGGTTCGATTCCCAGTCAGGGTACGTGCCTGGGTTGCAGGCCATGACCCCTAGCAATCGCACATTGATGTTTCCCTCTCTCTCTCTATCTCCCTCCCTTCCTCTCTAAAAATAAATAAAATCTTAAAAAAAAAAGAAAAAGAAATTTTAATTGCTTTATTAAGCATGGCTGTTTGGTATGTAACTGGCAGTTAAAGCTTTCTAAATGTTTGAGAAAATAAAAAAAATTAAAAGAGGAAAAAAATCCTCCTTATACAGTATTCATGATCAAAATGTTTGTAAGTGAAAAGCTACTCTTAGTATGTGAAATGTTTCATGCTAGAATACAATGAGAAGGGCTGGAAATGATATGTGTTAATGAGCTTCATTGTCTTGAGTATTTTTAAAAATCATTTACTTTTCTCTTTATGAAATTTACTGATTTTTAGAGAGAAAGGGAGAGAAAGAAGCATCAATTTGTACTTCCGCTTATTCATGCATTTATTGGTTGATTTCTGTATGCACCCTGATGGGAGGTGGAACCCGCAACCTTGGCATGTGGGGATGATGCTCTTAACCAGTTGAGCTGCCTGGCCAGAGCATCATTTACTTCTTTACTGCCCTCATTTACAGATAGTAAAACAATAAACTATTTGATCTTTTATGAAACAGGAAACTTGTTGCTAATTCATTGAAAACATTTTCAATATTTACTTTCAATGGATTGAGGATGTAGGTAACACATAAAGGACACTTTTCATATATAAAACATTTACATCAATATTTTTTAAAATTCTCAAAATATTCAGGATGCATTTTATTTTATTTTTTCAGAGTGCCTTTTAAAGGACTGATTATTTTATGATTGTAAGCAGATATCTGATCTCTGAGAATTCTTGTGAGTGCAGGGAATTTTTACACCAAATAATAAGTCATTTCAAATTAGTTATGGCTAACACAAAAAGTGAGAGATTGTTTGCTTTTTCTTGTCCACATTTTTTTTCCTTGTAGAAGGAGCATAGCTGAAACATCTTTTTATAGGAAGTATTGTGTATATTATGCTTTAGGATATGGTAACTGGAGACCACACACTTTAAATCTCACACTCAGGAGTAGTGCTATAGAATAAAAACATTAAGTTAAAAATCAAGGGAGAAGAGCACCTGTTGGCTAGATATGTAGCGTCCTGTAAATAAATAGCCAAAGTAAGATGATTGTTAGATAAAAGAGTGAAAAAGATACAGATGTGAAAATTATTGCTGTTCATTGCTATATCTCTTTGACATTAAATCTGTACAATAATAGCCCTAAAAAGTTAACATTATATATGTCCAATTATTTTAGTCTCTTCACTGAAATTCATCACTCAGGTACTTTTAACTTGAGTATTTATAGTGAACTTAGTTTGGTGGCAAATTTTGATAATTCAAATTTAATAACCGTTCTATATTCAGGCACTTAGGTAGGTGTTTTACCTGTTACTTGTAATTCTCACTATTCCCATTTACATGTGAGAAAAGCTAGGGCCTGAGAAGTGTTCAAGTCGGACAGCCAGTAAGTAGGAGAGCGAAGATTCCAGTCTGCATTTTTTGACTCCACTCTATTGTTCTGCTCTGTTTTTAGCACAAGTACCATAAAAGCCCATAAAGTGTGTGGAGATGAAGTTCCTAAACTTCTTCATCTAGTGTATTTTATCTTATTTTTGCCTTCAAGAGAATGAAGCTACCCTTCATCTTAAGTTCTATAACCAGTGTTATCTTAACACTCACTGAGATTAATGACAGATGTAAATTTAGATTTCTTCCCAGTTAAACTCTACTTTGTCATACTTTTAGTAGTGCCATTATGAGAACAAAGTACTATTAGAGGAAAAATTCTGTCTTATGTGAGTTTATTTTAAAATTTAACATTAAAAAAGTTATAGCGATAACATTGACATTCACATGCCATTTTACAGTTTAATCAGTACCTGGAGATATTAAGACTCATATAGTTAGGAAGTGATAAGCTCCAGTTTGGGTATTTTTGAAGTATTGTTCATTACTGTTTCTCATTATACCTCACTGCTGCCCTGATAAATCTATACGATTGCAGCCTGCTTCATTTTATTAATTCAGTTTGTTCAAAGTAAGACAAAATCATAAAATGCAGAATGGCAGAAAGAATATCGTACATTCAGACTTGAGGGAACTGGATATTAGTCTTGATCTGAGCCACCAACTATAGCTTGGCTCATTTCTTTTCACTTCTCTGGTTTGATCATTTCCCTCCTTTGCAAAACAAGAAATTAGAATCCATTATTAAGGTTTCCTTCTTTTCCGAATCCTATAAATCTGTAGTTTTTGAATAAAAGCAGAGG